GAATCGAATCGTACAAGATGATGGGTCAACTCCTAAGCTACCAATCAATGAGGTTAATGTATTTCCTTATATATATATATAGTCATAATATTGGACTAATAATGTGTAAACAAATTCGCGATTTATTTAATAAAAAAGGCTAATATATGTTTGCAGAAACGGGTACCAAAGTTGCTCAATATCAATTTGAATATGTTGATTACACTAGCACCTTGATGGATGAGGTATTAATTAATAACTCTAATTTTTTCTTTCTCTAATTAAGATTTTCTCTCTAATTAAGCTTTATAATCTTGTGTTATATATGTTTGTATGCAATGGAAAACAGTATATTCTGATAACGGAAATCAATCCAAAATATGAAGCTCATAATCTGAATGTTGCACTAAGAGATGTTACGAGACGACTCGATAATTTGGCTGAATTTGTGTAATGTTTCTCTCATTAATTTTGTTACATAATTATCTCTTCTTTCATTACTAAATATTATTTCTTACTAATAATTTATTCTTCTGCATTGAATTTTTGCAGACAAGAGCTAAATGACAATATGAATTTTGATTTTCATATTGACCCGGAAATTGCAAGAACTATGAGGTTTATTAATACTACACTTGATAGTTCCAGGTGATTAATTAGTCTTACTCACTCTCATTTAAAAAAATAAAAATATAAAATTCAATTTGATAGAGTTGATATTGTATTTGATCTATCGTAAATATATATATATAGAATTAAAATAAGTGATTATAATTTTATAAATAAAGAAATTACTAGTGATTAATATTCTTGTTATTCTAATTTATTATGGCTTAGATTTTGTGGTTCAAATTATGCAGTGTTGGTGCAGTAGGCTGTATTCTCTACGTGGTGCATTAAAAAAAGTACGAGATTATTATAAGGAGAGGAATATGGAAAAGTATGCTTTGTATATTATGTAATGTAATTCGTTGTATCAAAATATTATGAAGATTTGATGAAAGTTGTTGAAAATTTACACAATTTTATTATAATAGGTGTTTAGAAAGCAATAAAGCAAAGAATGAATTCAACTCACTGAAGAGCAGATTGGAACCCATAATGGAGGTGAGCACAATTATTCAATAATTTCCAAGTTTAGTTAAATTTGTATGTTGATTTTGTGATCAAGTCATTATTCAATGATTATATTGCATCAAAAAAAAAAATTATTCAATGATTATTATTATGGGTAGTTGCATAATTTATTGATGGATGTTCGAAAAAAAATCGTTACATGTATGAGTTTATTATGTAAATCAAGTGATCATATATATGAGAGAACAGTTATATCTATGAAGGGTTCTTTCGATTAATTATGTTTAATATTACGTGTGCTTATATAAAATTGGTTGGGACGATGTAACAACTACGAGCTTAATTAATGTGGTGTTTATTTGTAGATGGAGAAAAAGATCGTAGATGGTGGTGGATCGATTCCTAAGCCTATTGTGAAGGATACAAGAAGAATTGGAGCATTGCATCCTAGTCATGTTTATATCATCGGCGTTGATGTTTCGTGGAATGTTGGAACTAAAAGAACTAGTTCATATGATTCTTTGTAGGTTGTAGCTTTAATTTCTGTTACTACCTTCTTCTTTTTTTTTTTTTTTTTTTTTTTTTTTTTTTTTGACAAATTCTAGCTTGTTACATGTATAGTCATTTGATACTTTGCTCTGTGACTAGATTTCGATCATAAAAATGTTGTTTACATATTCTTTTGGTAATGAAACAATTTGGATTTTGGATTAATCTATTTGTAAAAAAATTCTATTTTAATTTGCGTAAGATGTTACGTTCTAAGTAAGACCATGTAGCCTATGTTACTCAAGCTCAGGAACCGTGTTTAAAGATATTAACCTCTTTTTCTTTTCTTTCTTTTTTTTTATTTTATTTTATTTTTATATATATATATATATAACGAGAAACTGGTTTATTACTAAGATTGTAATTTTTTAGGTGTGGTTGAAGGTGTCTAAGTTTAAGGAAAATGTGATGATGAGAATGATAAGGCCATTTTTAACATATGCTTTGCTGCTTTTAAAGTTATATTTATACTGAGTATTTCAATATTTGTATAGGATAATTCCGTTCTTGCGAGACAGAACTTGTTCGGTTCAACTTAAATTCAGTTCAGTGTCTAATTTTTTTTTTCTCTCATAAATAACTAAGTACTCCTGTATGAGCTATTTGGCAAAAAAATTTCTTTGAAAGGCGAGCTATATGACAAGTTGAATGTGTTGATTCCAATAAATAATGAAAATTTTGTAGTTATCGATTGAAATATTACTCCCTCCGTTTTTAAATACTTGCTCCACTTTCCTCTTTCCGCCGTTTTTAAATACTTGCTCCATTTCCTTATTTTTTTTTGACAAGAAAAAAAAATTACAATATTTAATTGATTTCTCTGACCTAGTGAATTCAATATAAATCATATTTTATTAATTTCATATTCTCTCCCTCTAATTTTCTTCACTACTTTAGATTTTTATAATTTTTTAATTCTTCCACCTAACTACTTCAATATTTTATTACTTACTCTAATTTCTCCTAATACTCCGCGCATGAAGAATTGAGTAAGAATTTAAAAACGGAGGGAGTATATAACTATCATGATTGACCTGTTTTTCTTCAAGTAATAAGAATATAAGAGTATAGGTATAATTTTGATATAAATAGTAATTTTGATATAAGAGTATAACTCTAAACAAGAAACCTAATACTACTATAATTAGGGTTTCAGAACGTGTTAGTTTAACATAAAGCTCTCTCTATATATTGGTACACTGTATATTAACTGTAGGTTATACACTTGTACACAACACAAAACCCTTTGATTCAATTTATCACCTTCAAATTCTTAATCAATGGCGGAAGCATTAGTGGATTTAGCGATGGATTTTGGACGGAGATCTTAGCAAGGCTGCCGGCGAAAAGCCTAATGAGATTCAGATGTGTTTGTAAAAGCTGGTGTTCATTGATTGATTCCTCGGATTTCATTGTTACTCATCTTCACATTTACAACAAGAAACGCAAGTCTTTGATAGCCAAAAAGGAGACTGAATTTACCCTTTATAGTATCGACGCATTCAAGAAAATTGATAAAGTTTTCAGCACTCAAAAGGATCATTGCAATTCATACAACAATTGTTTTGGACTGATTTTGTTACAAGAAACTGAAGATGAGTTCGTATTTTACAATCCTTGTATTCGAAAATCGTTGGTAATTCCACCTTGTCCTTTTATTTCGATGGGATATACCATACTTTATTACCCCGGTTTTGCTTCGTCTACTAATGATCATAAGATAGTTGCTTTTGGGTGTCGATGGAATTCCGAGGTTTCGATTGCAGTTTTATGATCGCCTTTGGAATGGGTTATTTGATGAAGCTCACATTCGAAGATATGGTACTATTATTCCAAGAGTGCTACCCACTGGTTAGGATTTGATCAGGATTATTCTAAACCACCCGTATCAAGGATTCATCTTGTATCGTTCGATTTTGATTCCGAGGAATTTAGCATTACGGATTTCCCTGATGCTCTTAAACAAAAAGATAGCCTTAAATTTCTGTTCACCTCGGTGAGTCAATTGCAGCTTTTAGTGTATGTTCAATGCGAATCTGCATATGGGTTTTGGTCAAGGATGGCGGAGAGAGATCATGGCGATTGTGGTATACCGGAGATACAAATTTAGAGGCTGATCAGTTTCTTACAAGAAGTTTTTTATGGAGATTTTCAATGCTGAGAAGAATACATTTTTGGTACTTAAAAAGGGTAAAGTGTATTCATATAATTTTAGAACTCATCAGATACAACATTTGGAAAATTATACTGATCATAACAGTAAATCTTCTGAAGTTTATGTGGAAAACTTAGTATTGCACAAACGAAGCCAAGGGAAGATTTGGACTGATGAATTCAGAACAGTACAAGATTGTCAATTTTGAGGACTGAAGTTTATTATACATTGATTCCGGGTGTATATGAAAGGTGTTTGTTTATTTTTCCCTTCTGCGTACTCCGTCTCAGTTTTATTTTGTACTCGTACTTGAATATTACCATTGAGGATCAATCTAACTAGAAAGATAATTATCTTTAAAAGCTTATATAGAACGGCAAGAATTTGACAATTAGCTCGCTATTAGAGTTGGCGAGTTGCTCTTAGACACGTAGAACGTCAGCCTTATATGCAACGGAGTATAATGCTTTTGATGTATTGGAAACATTCAAGGATATACCATTCAAAGAAAGACTATCTATCTACCTACCTATAAGTATAAACATTTTATTTTTAAAAATACATAAATTAAAAAAATTACTACTATTATATGTTTATATACATGTAGATAAATATGAACTCTTGAAGACAGTCACATCTATAATTTTATGATAATTTAAAGTTTTTAACTGTATATATGCTTGAATAGGAATCAATGTAAATTTACGAGAATTGCAAATGTAAACCTTAAGAGAATAAAGAAGCTATTCATGTGAGATACAACTTAGATCCAATCGGCAATCGTATGATTTACATGGTCTTAGGGTTCTAATTTTTCCCATAACATACACATGCTCCATAAACAATAGAAGTACAATATGATTAATGAACACAGCAGTACAAGTCAGATGACAATCGCGGTTAAAAGAATGCAACACAGTGAAAAATATCGTATTACCCTCTTGCTATAATACAATACAAGCAAGTTCCAGTAAAAATTTCTATCACAAGTGCAATTTTCAGAAGCTGTGGTGTATCTATAATTGGATTGTTATGGCAGGTAGCTTTACACTTTCTTTTTTTTCTTTAATTTTTTAATGTAAATGATTTCATGTAACACTTTGGTCTAAAGAAGAGATGGCTGATCCTAGAGCTCAGTCGGGATTGAGTTTTAATATGAGGTCTTTACCTTCAAAGAGAGCCTAAATAGTCCTTCAGTATATTTATGATAGGATTTGCATTCGATGCTTCGCCCAGTTTCTCAAAGATGATCCCATCCATTTCTTGCCTGGATTCCCTCCATAGATGTCAACTCTTCAAGTAGTATTTTTAGAGTTCTGTCCACCCCAACAATAGTACCCCCTATGCCACTCAAAATCTCTGGCAACGAAGGGATGGTCTTGACACTTCAACCATGTCACCTGCATCATTATCAGCATAAACAATGAGACGGGCACAGAATAAAGAGTTCACAAAAAGTTCATCATGAAGAACTTTTAGAGACGGAGTAATTGTATTTGGAAGCACATTATCATTTGGTTGTGTTGACCTACAAATAGGACTGGTGGTCTGCCAAGCTTACAAGCCTTACTTCCCTAGAGTACGGCCACATCTTTGACAAAAATGTCTTCCTCAAATTTGGAGTGACATTTAACTTGGCACTAGCACCTACTATTGCAATTCAAGACATTGTACTATTGTAGCCATGGTCCATAAAGATGTGGTATTTCAATAAATGCAGTGTTATTCAATAATACATGGCATTATCTCAACAAGGCATCAACAAAGCATACCTATCACACGAGTGAGAATTAACAGAGATGGCAATAATTAAGAACTATGAAAGAAATTTTGAATGCAAAAGGCAGAAAAGTGCCACAGCACAAATAGAAAGAAAGAGTTGGAGTAAAATTAACACCAAACATTAGAGAGGTATGAGCCATAAAATAGAAAGGAAATACCGGTTGCTCTTGGGGAATGTTAGCCTTTTGCTTTGCTATGGCAACTGCACGGCCCATTCCACCTAAAGCATCAACAAGTCCTCGAGAAGCAGCATCACTTCCGGTCCAGACTCTTCCTTGTGCATTTTCTTCCATCTTATCTACCTATACATAAATGAATAAATCAATCAATAATCTGTATTGATAGTGTAAAATTCAAATAATTCATGTTAAAATAAAAATAAAATAAAATAAAAGGTTAGTAATAGAAAAATTACAGGCATTGATCTTGAATAGGCTGCTTTATCTCGAAATTGTGTATAAGCATGCTGGGCAGACTTTGCAAAAAGCTCTGCTTCTTCCGGCCTATAACAAATTTGCATTTAGAATGAGAAACAAATCAAATGTTACTAAGATTGTAGCTATCAGTGAAAGTTTGCTCTTTGATGCTAAATGAGGGAAGATCTAAAATTAATTTACCCTTAACATAGCAAAAATTCACTTTTGATTTTGAGAACCCAACAATCTGAAGATTAATTGTCAAAGTTATTGACTTCTATTGCCAAGAGTGTTTTTTTTTTTTTCGGGAATTTTTACAAAACCTTGTCATTCATCAGATAATATGCCCCGAAGTATAAATAATGTATTTTATCATGGAATTATCTGCAAGCACTTATATGCAAAACATATATCTTGTAAAGTTGTAAATGATCATATCAGATGTAAAATAAATCTGTCATTATTCTAGCGAGTACTTTTGTAGCATGATGTAGAGCACAAAGTACATGCTAGTTCCTACTTCCTAGTGATCTGTAGACGTAGTTCATTTTAGGAAACCTTGCCCAAGCATGCAAGACAAGAACTTTCACCTGAAAGATCGCTGCTCTGCCGCAGTGAGCTCAGCAAACTTTCCCCTTGATATGATCTCCTTATTGAATCCAATCTTTTCATACAGCTTTCCCAAATTGAACTTCCCTATCAAACAAAACTACATTATTAGGTGCATTTCATGTTACAGCTAAGGACACATTGAGTAATTATCTAAGTGTGCTATAGATTCTAGCATCTATCAGCTCAAGCATCACATGAACATTTGATTTGATCCATAAGATATGTTCACTGCTGTGAAACAACAACAAAAAAATAAAAAATAAATAATAATAATAATAATAATAATAATAATAATAATAATAATAATAAATAATTCATTGCATTTATTTTATTTTTGTTTTGTTCAGGAGCAAATAGATACAGTTCAAAACTCATTCTTCAGAAAAGAGAAGTATAAGCATGAAGAAGTTAAAGCAAAACATAAATTTATCACTCACAAGCCTAACCAATGAATTGCCAAATTTTTCCTTTTTTTTATATATTTGAAACAACCAATGAATTGCCTAATGGTTATTAATCATTATAGCCTTTTCAGCTAAAATTATGCACAATATTAGATGATAGAAATGTTTGCAAAGCTTATATATTGGATCCATGACATTAAGTCTCAGCTGCATTGTGAAGGATTTTGAGCTTGCCAAAACCGAAATATTAGGCCGCAATAGCCGCATTGCCTGTGAAAGTGGTTACGTGACGTTACCACAATCGCAACCGCATCCGAGATTTAAAGCCATGATTGAATCTGGAATCTATATATTATTAGCAAAGGCAAAAGAAGAAATCAAAGGGTGAGACTTGGTGTTGTAAATTATCCCATTTTGGCATAGAGTACTCTGGTTCAGATCCATGAGACCCACCTTTCCAAGAAAGTAAAGATTATGCCCTTTCTTTGTGAAGCAAGAAGAAGAAGGTCAATACCAGAAGAAAAGAAAGGTCAAGTCAGCTGTACAATTATACAATGTGATGGTCATCAACCTCCTAACTCCAATAATTCTGTACCAATTCTATGCAACTTACAATGCATCATTTACTATTTAGGACTACTCCACATACTATGTCAGGCCACTAAGGAATTGCTTCCTCCTATTTCAAATATATCACTAAAAAAATCAGCTGCAACAAGTACAGTGTTGAAGGGAGTAACTTGCGGTGATCCCCAGTGCATAAAGGATTAACTGAGTATTGAACTATCAACTACTGATGAGACACGTGATACAGGAGTCATTTACTGAAGCCTATTGATGGACAAGTGATACAAAAGTCTAACCTGTGACAACTCCAATTGAACCAGTCAAAGTAAGATTTTCTGCAACTATAGTCACTGCTCCCATCGCCATGTAATATCCCCCACTAGCTGCAACATCACCCATTGATGCAATAACAGGTTTTTCGGCAGCCAAAAGTCTTATCTCCCGCCACATCCTGAACATATTTGACAAGTGATTATCCATTAATGCCACGTAAAACTGTGATCATATTAATATATATTATTTTCTGGGCCTTTTTTCATATGAAAATTTATTCATGATTAAGGTCATAATATTGTTAAAGTCTGCAGTGTCAAAGCAGTATGTCGCATCTGTTACATCACACTTCACCACTATCTAGAAATGAATTGACAAACCAAATCATCCTCTTCAACTTCAGAATTTTAATAGTTTTGGTATCCATTTTTTAGATTATACTTTAAACTTTACATATTGTCATTGTGGAACTCTTCCATGAGTTCCATCTAAATAGAAACTTGCATGTTTTTTCAACTATTTAGATAATTTCATATTGTCGTTCAATGAAAAAAATTCAACCTCTAACTGTTTTTTTCCAACATTTTAAGGAACCATATAAAGCGTGCCTGTGTCTTCAATCTACCAACTTGATTTGTGTGTTAAAACAATAAATGTTGAATGTCATTTTCCCTTGTGGCTCTCTTTACACCCAAAAAATAAAAATAAAATGAAAAAAACAGCATGATGCCAACTTCCTAGGTGATAAGCTAAGAAATATTCATCACTTCATCTGGCATCACAGTACATTATACAGCAAAAGATTTTCCAAGAGGCCAACTATGCATACATTCACTAGAAATTATGATGACCTAACCCTGGTTTCCTACGTTGCTCAGACATGGCATGTCCGACACGGTTATGTACAGTGAAAAAGAAGATGCTGATTAACATAGCTGGCTTCTAGTGTGATACATATGGGTAATTAAGAATCCAAGAGTAACAAAAGAAAAAAAAAAAGTGAATTAAAATATAACCATGCATTCAAATATACTGTATGTAAGAATAGGATACACTTACAGATCTGAAGCAAGAGCATCACCTCCAGGACTGTCAATTCGAATTATTGCAGCTTTATATCTTTTGGATTCTGGACAGAAATTCCAACATTAATACAAACAAACAAACTGGTCATTCTTGAGAAAAAAAATTAACAATTACTTTGTAGAAATTTAGAGGACATCATCACACTACTAAGGATACAACTAATCTTACAGCCATGTTAGGCTATATTCAGTTCATCACCAGCACTGCTTCCTGGACATTTGCTAACTTATCAATAAGGAAAAAACTATATAAGGTATGACAGATTGATAGATGAAAGCTTAATTTTTATCTTCTGGAACACTACCTATTCTGATTTATGCAACAATTACAAAAGTAAACCCATTGAAGAAATTCAATAATGCATACTTGATACGGATAAACAAATCAGACAAAGAATATAAGACATACCTCTTACACTACGTATTTTCTCGATTAGCTGTTCTGCAACTATGCCTGATGTAGACGAACTTAAAGGGCCACGAACACGACTGATGCTTCCAGAGGCTCTTATGACTGCAATCCTCTCTTTTCCTCCAGATAATTCCAGGGTCCATTTTTTCACTCCAGAGTATCGTCTGTAAATGCACGGTTGTCATAGATTTTATTCCAAATGTCCTACATAGATCACTGGAAAATATAGAGGTCTAATCTCCCCTTTTGCACTTTCACAATATTTGACTTTCTTAAGACAGCAATAATTCATGAAAAAGGTAAAAACCAGTTGACTTCCAGAAAAGCCATGCTTCATAGAGAAACAAGAATAACATTTGATATCCTTATAGCAGACAAGCACCAAATTCACATAATTCTCTAGTACAGCCAATAAGCCAACAATAATTATAAGTAACACTGATAAATTGAGATAAGCAGAACAATTATGGTGAAATGCCATTCAGTATGTTTAGATGCACTTCAGCCCATTCTAACAGTTTAATTTCTGAATAAAACAACCTAAATATCATATCGAAATAACAAAATATTGTACCAATTTAGTCAACTGTACCAATTCTTTGTAGTAATTTCACAAGAAAATAATGGTAAACTGACAATAAAATCTTGGATTTGGCTGATTTAAATCCCTACATGTTTGATGTTTATGATAGATACAAGACTAATCAGTAATTTCATTTGCATATAAAACTGGGTACGAATGTAATTTTATTTATAACTAGATTAGGTTCGTGCGATGCACGGTTTTAACATCATTTTTAACAATATTTTTAGCTTATTTGTGTGTAATATGTACGTAGTACAAATGATTTAAGCAAAATCTAATATATTGATAAATTAATAAAAAGTGGAACCCCAATTCATATAATATGTATAAAATATACGGAGTAGGAGAAAAAGATAATGTTTATAAGAAAATAAATAGTACAACCTTCCTTTAGTTTCTCTAATGGAAATTGCATAATTAGTCAATTTAAATACCACCTCCGACTTTTTTAGTTGCAACTTTGAGGTATTATTTGAGAGATAAAATTATTCCAAAGTTGCAACTAAAAAATCGGAGGTAGAATAAAATCTGTTAGGAAAATGTATAATTAATTTAACATTTTCAAATTTTTATTTATGTTGAAAAAAAATGATGTCATAATTAGTTTTGGTGGAAAAAATTTTTATAAGAGGTTGACATGTGGAAAATAATGATATCAGCGGTAATTACTTTAGTTATATTATAGACTATAGTCTATGACCATAACTCAGCTACCCTCGGAGAGGTAATTGTAATAGCTCAATAGTACTGCTCATAATATGAGTGATGCTTGGCTATGTGGTGATGATTCTAATTGTATAATGGATGTTAATGAAAAAATTAGTTGCATTATTGTTACAGAACACTTACATAATGAAGCAGGGATACAATTTCTTGAGTGATCAAATTCCTTCTCAACAATGAACTAAGACCCTATTCTTTTGGATTGACTGAATGTGAATGGAGGGACTAAACTAAGCTGTAATACTGAGAGGAAGCTGGTTAAAATAAGATTTAACTAGAAAGCTGAAAAAAATATTTTTTTAAAAGAACATGGACCAAGTGGGTTTGGAATAGGTTAAGCATTCCAAAACATAAAATCACTTTCAGGTTGTTATGGCTGCAAAGATTGAGCACTAAGGTCAGCCTAGCAATTATAGCATCTGTGATGATCTTTGTCCTCTTTGTGGCATATGTTTGAAGACTAAGGTATATCTGTTTTACCAGTGGCAGTTTTGCTTGAATTGACACATAGGAACTGGAGGGGAAATAATCTATGCAAATTATACATCTAAGTTAGCTCAAGCTTCAAAGGGACAAATTTTTAAAGGAAACTTTATAATGCTCTTACAGCAGCAAGTGTGTAATGTATTTGGAAGGTAAGAATTGGAGCTGTTTGGGGGAATTGTGTGCGAAGACCTAAGAAGGCAAACAGAGGCTTGATCAATTGTAAATAACTTGAGATCGAGATGTGCCTTTATGTTATCCTTCCTAGTAATCTAAGTAATTAACTAGGTAAGATAAACAGTGGCTTAATCAGGTAAATAGCTTGTGCTGATACTAGCTAGTGTTGTAATTGTTGTGAGAGAGAAGGGAAGTCCATGTCCATCCCATTTGACTTTGTAAATGGTAGCTTGGTTTTGAGGTGATCAAGTACAATAACTATCTTACCCTCCCAAAAAAAATCATACTTGGAACTTTGGAAATGGATTAAACTCCACTGCTCCACATAAAACTAGATTTAGCACCTACCCATTACTCCAACAGTGGAAAGATATAGATAAATTCTGAAATGAAAATCTAACCTAATGTTAATTAATTTCTTGGCTTTAGAATCAAGTATATACTATAGAGTTTATTAAATTATCGGGATAATTTCCATGTATGGCCACACTCTTTTTCAAAGTTTTTTAAGGAATCATTATATTTTTTAAACCGTAACCACTCGAAATCATATTCTAGGACATAAAAAAATGAGCTCAATTTCACCTACTTGCAAAGCTCGTAATCACTTTCATCCATGTCACAAGTAAAATTCACAGAGATATTTTCTAATAAGTGTGACACATGCATATGTATGACATATTTTCTTCTTTATACTAAAATAAATACCTGTAATCAACCATGGGGAGTTTCTTTTCCTTCTCAATCCCCAATCTTTCTTTCAACATCGAAACCACCTACATAAACATGACTAAGTGTGTCATTTGTGGTATCAAAAGCAAAAGATGATTAACATGTAGCTGGAAATGAAGTGTTATGAGGGATGGTAATCTATTATAATGAACTAGAAAAAGATGTGTGTTATTTCATGAACTCTAAAGTCTATAGAAAAAGGTCTCTAATAAGGAGTGGTTTCATACCTCATCATCGTAATTAATATTTGTTATCCATCCCTCCTCTTTAAGCCTTTCAATTTTGTATACTCCTTCATTGATGAACTTCTCAACATCATCTTTGTTTTTTCCTGTACAGAAGTTTCAGTACAGAAACTGTAAAGCATTTTTTTGTCATGTCAGCCCATGATTAAGATGGCTTTTATAATCAAGTGTAAGCAGACAATGGCAAATCACCTTTAGCAGCTGAAATTTTATCAAGCCAATTTCCATAGATATTATCAAGCAATGTAGTCAACATCTCTCGATTTTCTTCAGATATAGATTTGCGTGTAAGCTGGTCTCCAGCACTTTTAAACTTCCCAATCCTCTCAACCTGTGGTTCAATACCTACTTTCTCAAAAATACCTGTATGCAGAGATTAAATTGTCAATGCTAAACAGTGCATGATTGCATGACAATAAATAATCCTAGCTATATTCATGAAAAAAAAAAAACCCCCACAAAGAAGAGCTACTGTCAACCGAAAACTTAGAATACCACAAAATGATTGAAACAAGAACTGTAACAATATATTTTTCTTTAGCAAAAGGTTTATGCTCAACATGCAGACAATCATATACGAATTCTACTAGAGCAAGATGTTCCCAAGAGAGTATTAATTGCAACTCTAGAGCACAAAAAGTAAGCAATGCCAACCAAAACATACCTCCAAGAAATGATGCTTGAACAGTCAAACCATACAGCCGAAAATAAGCACTTGGAGGTGCATATACCTCTTCACAGGCAGAAGCTAGATAATACTCTTTCTCTCCACATGTTGGAAGATACCCCACAACAAACTTTCCTGCAAAAGCAACATATCACATAAATGTGGAAGGTCTTTAAAGGCAAAAGAATGAAGATGATCAGCACAAAGTTCGCATGAGATCCATGGAAGGTCTTTACAGGCTGCAGTTACATAAATGATAAAGGTCTGTAAAGGTGAAAGAATGAATGTCAGAACAAAGTTAGCACTAGGTCCATGGAAGGTCTTTACAGGCTGCAGTGCAGCTGCTAGCCATCCTAGGACTCTAAGAGCAACCAAACAAGTCCTATCATTCACAACATTCATCCTGATTATTATATAAAGATATGACATACACGTTCCATTTCCGTGGAATTGGTACTTAGCGAAACATATACCAATTATTCCTTAACTTCCATACAAGTCCTTTTATAATTTGCAAAAAAACAAACTAAGGCCAAAATTTCTCCTAACTTTTTAAACTTTATCAACACCTAAACATTATGTCAATGCCATCTAATCGAGCAAGCTGAAGCGAACACCTAATGTATTGTGCTAATTGCCATCCATTGTTAGTTGCAATAAACTATCAGCATCGAAAACCAAAGAATTATAAACACAAACACAAGGAATGTGACACAATATGCTCACCTGACTTCCGGAAATCCAAAATATGCCTCCGAATTTCCTCAACTTTACCCCATCCACAATTCAAAGATTCAATATGAAGATAAACCCCAGAAATCCTAGGATCATAAGCTGCCTTTATAAAATTCTCACATATTTGTGGCAGAGACAACCCTTGCGAAAACCGAGATTTCAACTGATCAGAAATCTGAACTTCACAAAACATAAACAAATATCATCACAAGAATCTAAAAATCAACACATTAAGTATAATTGATCATGTAATAACTCGAGACATTGCTCGAGCCCAAAAACTAGTTAAGCATTTAATAATAATAATTAAACAACACTATATGAACGCGTGATTTTGTCATTCATTCCGAAATTAATATAAAGGAAATCTTGAGAAAATAATAAAAAAATAATTAAAAGATGGAGAAATAAACCTGGCCACGTAATTTGATGGTGAAAACACTGTTCTTCTTAACCCGTTGCCAAGGAAAAGCAATGAGCATCCGACATTTAACAACAAAACTCTTCCAAGCGCCAAATTCTTTGAATTCAAATTCACCACTAGGAAAAACTTCCTCAGATTTAGGAGCGCCATTAACAGAATCTTCATCAAGCTTTTCTTCAACCTTAACCTTAGAATTAGAATCGGAATTGGAATCGGAATCGAAAGCGTTGGTGGAGAAATTGAAATAGCGGCGACGAAGAATCGGAGCGAGGCGAAGAGAGGAGGAGAGAGAGAAAGAGGGAGAAGGAGGAGGAGAGAGAAAGTGGGAGGGAGAGAAAATGGGAGAAGAGAGAGGGAGTGGAGGTGGAGGAGAGAGAGTGGAGAGAAGGTGGAAGCTATGGCGGTGGATTGTGTGGAAACGAGGAGATGAATGAAGGAGTTTCGCCATTGTTGTAGCAGAGCAGAGCTTTGTGAAGTGATTTCTGGTATTGGTAGTTTGGTATTTGAATGAGTGGGGAAGAAGAAAGAAGATGATTAGTTCAGGAAGGTTACATATTCCTCCACGTCGACTCTCTTACTGTCTTACATCAAGCAAATAAAGTATACTCCATATGTTAAAAACTCGATCACCCAACCCAACCTAATCTAATCCGACCCGATTAAGTTACCAATTTGAATATTGACTTTTTACTACTATTCCTTATAGATTAAGGGTCTGTTCTCATTGACTGAACTCAGCTAAACTGAACTTAACGTATTAGAGCTGAGCTGAACTGAATGAATATTTTATAAAAGAAGGAGATAAGGAGCTAGACTGAAATGAACTTAACTTATTAGAACTAAAATGAACTGAAAATAAACGTATGAGAACAGGTCCTAAATTAGAATTATTTTGTTCAGTTCAATTTTGATAAAAGTTGTAATGTTAATGAATATTTCGTATTTGTTTTATATATGCAGACATCTTTTCTTTAATTTTCTAAGTTTGAATTATATTACACATCAACCATCTTTAACAAGTGAAAATTATCGGCTAATTTTAAATGAACCAAATACTTCCCTCCTTGCTTAAGAGTATAGATCAATGACTTGTTAAAAATGACACATATGTAATTTTCTTCATAAAAACCATTTTATGCGAATGCATTAGGAAGGACTCTGGAAATCTTTTTAATAAGTTAAACCTACATTATTCAAGGCAAAAGCTTCAATAATTTCAATCTCATAATTGTATACGATTGAACAAGTATAATGTATTGTTCTTCTCCTTGAGGATTCGCTAGCACTTATTTTTTCTTCATCTACTGATGAATATTGTTGGATAGGAACTGCTTTACAAACTCCTTAACATTTTTCTTGAGCTGATGCATTACAGCAACAAGAGTTCCCCTTCTCTGCTTCTCATCACAGGTGAAGCTGATATCGATATATGACAACCTTCAAGTTCCATATCAAACAAACACATTAATGAAGAAAGATCATCCATTCCAAACACACTCTATAAGGCTGAAGCTTCAGTAATGTCAGAAACGTAACATGCTCGAAATTTTCTTGAAGACACCAAAAATAAAACAATCCAGTAATCTTGCATCATCTCTCTTCTATTTAATCCACTTCGAGCCTAACACCATATACATTCACTTCATCACATTCATTATTGGCTTAATCCATTTAGTTTGTTGGGAAAAAACTAAAAGAAGAGCAGTAGTTTTTTTGTCCCTTCTTTCCCTGGTCACTAATATTCTGAAGATATCAGTCACTATTGGCATCAAGCGCACAGCTGTGACTAATCATAAAGGCTTCCAATAGCTCCATCCTATAAAAAGGATTTATCGCCAATGAATGAGAACTCTTCTTAGAAACAAAATATAAGACACCATGCATACAAACAAGAGCTTAAAGCAAATGAATTAATGAAGTTTCAAAATACTACCTCCGTTTCTATTAGATCTATTAATCTACTTGTTTTGACTTTTTACGCTTGTCAGCACGAAACTTTGACCATTAATATCTTTAATTATCAATAAGTAAAAATCATACAAAGTTGACATTTAGAGACTATACGTTGAGACATTTCTAACAAGATCCTAGATTATGATCTCCTCAAGAGAATCACTAACATTAGTCAAAGGGGAGCATGTAAACATTAAAAAAGGTCAAAATGGATAAATGAAAAGAAAACATGGAGGGAGTAACACTTGTGAAAAAGGTCTTCCTTTCCATCAATGCACAAGTCATGCAAACATACTTCCAACACCTCATCTTATTTGTTTTTAGAGGGTCTTATTATGTTTAAGAATGACATAGTCGTGAGCTCTCAACAAAGTGACAAAAATATGAGAGCGAGAGGGGTGATGAGACAAGTCACAAGTGTCAGCATGATTGATGAGAGTAAATAGAATATTTAGCTATTTATTAGTGTGTTAGATAACAAACAGCTAGGTAAACAGCCACTCAGTATTATGTAACACTTAAAACCCATAACAGACTGCTAAACACTAATGGATAACAGCTCCAGTACTACCCCCCCCCCCCCCACCCCCTTTCTGCACCCATCTCCCACAAGCACCATTCAAAGAGTCAACCATAACTCCATAAGGGCAAGCATCTTCAGGCAAAATTCAAGCCACCACATATTTTCAAGTGGTATTCTCCTCTCTTTTTTTTCTTTTTTTTTTTTGGGGTGGGGGGGGGGGGGTGGGGGGCCACTTTTCCTTTTATGAAGTTCAAATTTCCCTAAATCTCTCATACAGGCAATATTTGTGTCTTCCAAAGTAGTCTCCACCATTAACTCCTTCTTCTCTTTTCCTCTTCCCAAGTTACGTAGATGATCCAAAAACTGATCTAGCTTATCAATTCTCACCAATAAAGAAAGAAATACAGAATTAGAAACTCCAAAGAACCAAATATCTAGCCCCAACAGTGCCTACTAAAACCTATAAATTCTCATTCCACCCTTTTAAAATTGGATTAAGGGATTAAAAATTTAAAAATGAAGGAAAAAAAGAAGAAAAAAGAAAAAGTGGCACCCAAAAATGTGATCTTAGGCGAGATGAGTTTGGGATGAGGATTTAGTGATCTGTGAGATGTTCCTAAATACTATAATATTATTATGAGAAGAAATAAGTCCAAAGTTTGCAGCTTACTGATGGTTTCCCTCTATGCAGTTGGTTGTTTATAATATATGCAGGGAAGCTATGTTGTAAAGGGCCATGACATAACCGCCCTACCTTTGAAGTAAATATGATAAGCTATGCTTTCAATAGATGTAACCGGTAAACAAAATATAGTAACCTACAACAGAGATTCGGATGTATTTCAGCTAAGCTACACAAAGATCTATGATGTGCAAGCTAAGAATCCATTTTACAGCATCCCTAATTCCATTGTACCATTGCATCACCAAAACTCTCCACACAGTTTTAATATATTCAAATACCCAAAAAGGCCTCCGACCCATGGCATTCAACAAAATCATCTTAGCTAACATCCCAGAAGCCCCGTTTCCTAGACAAGTATACAACAAAGAGGTCTAAAAAGCAACTTGCAGCAGTGTTCCACAGTTATTCAAGTTTCAGCATATGGCAGACTGGCTGCAATGCGATAAAAAAAAAGTAATGATTACACTAAGCACGTGATATGGATTTACAGCATTCTTTAAACTTGGAGAAGGGGGAAGTAGAAGCAGCTAAAAGGTAGCTAATCACCTAGACTTTGAAAACCATAAACAAGAAAGGGGGACGAATTGGAATGAGCAAATGACAAAGAAAGATGGATCATTTCCCTCAGCAACCCCAGCTATTCATAGTATGGAATCAATAGCTTCATTCAAGCATAAGCTTAATCATCAAAACTGATCCCATTTTCCAATCACTTCACTGATCACACTTTAGGAAACCAAAAATAACACCACTAAGGAACCATCATCACTAATGGATTTCAGGTTTCTGTTTTATGATATGAAAATTTATATGACATAACGAGCTTGAAATTAGTCATACTTACACTAATCATGTTTCCTTTATCAAACCATTAGAATTGATTGTCTAGTTATGTCCATTTTTTTATATCGTATAGTTCCTTGTGACGATTCATGTTAGCCAACCCCAAATCATTTTGAGAGTAAGGCTTTGTTGTTGCACACTAATCAAGTTTATTCCACCGATAACGTACAAAGTTACAAACCACCACAGTTTTTGAACATAAATTCCTCATACCCAGAAATCAAAATGCACAAAAAAAAAATAAACCAAATTAACATCATCAAACTTCCCACAAAAATCTCACTATTTCTAACACCCTAAATCAACAAAATCATCATCAATTTCATCAAATTATAACAAAATTCAAATTCAAAATCAAAATTTTAACACAATATAAACCATTGAAATTACTAGTACCAAAAAAAAGGAAAAAGGATTACCTCACATCAAATTTATGTTTCCGAAATTTTATCCAACAAAGCCTGAGCAAGATTAGCAAACCCATCAACCTGAGAATACTTCCCAATCAAATCCACAACATTCTCCTTCTCTTTCAAATCAACCAAATCAACTAAATAATACAAACCCGCAATCGAATACTTAACCGTATTCCTCACGGGACTCGAAAGACACTCAATCAACGTCGCAACACCGCCGCAATCACAAACAATCTTAGCATTTTGTGGGTCAGCGACGGCGTTGCAGATTCCACCGACGGCAAACTCAATGAGACGTTCATTAGGCTCAGTTAAGCAGTCGATGAAAAGCTCTAAAACGTTGAGGTCTCGAAGAATGGCGTAATTGTAAGGATCGTAGGAGAAGTTGGCGAGATTAGCGACGATTTTTTCTTTGGATTCGTTGGAAATGGTGGGGTTTTGGAATTGGGTGATGAGTTGTTGAAGGTGTTGTTGTCTTGGTGTGCCGTATTTGCCTGTTCTCTCTGCTTGCCGTTTGTCGTTGGTGAACATTTTTTGTGATTGTTTGATTTGTTTCGATCGGTTCAGGTTGGTTTTAGAGGGAGGTTTAAGATTTGGGTTGGGTTCATCTTCGGGTTCAATTTTCAGGTTTGTTTTATTATCCTGATTCCTGATTTATATTTAGGATTATTATAGCACTAGTAATTGTTCGACTGTTAATACGAGTATAAAATGGGGGCTAAAGGTGAGATTGTTTGAAATTCAAAATTTATGGAAGACCGACTAATGGCCCGTTCTCATAAGTTTATTTTCAGTTTAATTCAGCTCCTAATTTCCTTCTCTTATAAAATATTTAGTATAGTTCAGTTCATTTCAGTTCAGTCCAATCAATGAGAAGATGCCCTAAAGGTGGGATTATTAGATTACAATTTTCCTTACATCAATTGAATTTCAGGTTGTGCGGGACTTTAACGAGGCAAGTATACAAAATCCACTCGCTCCCAACATTCATGATGAGTACAATTTTTATCCCCATCCATGCCCATCACCCTTCACCCCCAATATAATCTTCTTCCATCCCCACCTAATTGGGGCAAAATCATGGAATATAGTTTCTTGGCTCTTCTGAATTCTGCAAATACATAATTCTCCCATGGAAAAAGTGCACTAGGATAAGTAATCAGAAACTGGTACATTGTACAAAGAAGAAAACATCAATTTATCATGAGCTGAGGCAAATTCACAGCTCCTAATACACTAATTTGAGTGATATTGTCCAAGCAATACCTTTTATATAAGCTTCAGTATACTGTAACAGACTATAGTACTAGTAAAACAGTACATAACGTTTACAAATGACATTGAATCTACTACACAAAAACATCTATCGCCAAAAAAATTATCTATGTAAATACTAACTTATACGGAGTATTAGACAAAGTAAGATAAGAGAAATTGATAACCCTTTGTCAAACACAGAATTTACTAAGCTGTAATGCGTCTAATGACCAGAATAATTTGTATAAAAAAAAAATAATAAAAAAAAAACATTCAAGATACACCTGTGCATACAAGTTTGAGTTTGACGGCCCCCAATAGATGTTTGGAGCTAATCAGAGTACTTGGATATCAACTTGTCAACATGAATGATGATATCATCAATGCGTGGTCGAACAGCAGCTTGAGGCTGAAGCATCCATGTCACAAACTGGTGAAGTGTATCAGGATATGGCAGCTTTGGTCCAGCTGGCAATTTTATCTGAACATTTACAATGGCCAACTGTAGGCTTCCACCAGATTCTCCCAACGCATACTCAAAGGGCGAGACACCATACCTGCAAATAGCAACACAGGTGAGGTGACAAAAGATGTTTCTTTTTGCTGAACATATTATCATTCAAAATCCATTTACTTGTTTCCTCAAAAGTATTCAATCAATCAGATTTTCTCTCTCATTTTCCCGCTTTTTATTGGGGTATTCCTACATTGTAATTGTAAAGGTACTCCGTCTACTCTCTCTGAAAGAACCATAAACGCAATGAAGTCTAGTGGAAACTTGATGCAACATGATCAAGAAGCAAACTTTACTCCATAAAATTAACAGAAACCAGACAGAGCAAGTTGCAATATGTTAATCAAAGTAAAGATATTGATGAATGAGTCACATTACTAAATACACAGAGAAGGCCAAAACTGTACGTTAAAGTTGGTACTTACATTATTGCGTACAATGTGCATCCTAGAGACCATATATCAGTTCTTTCATCAATATTGCACTGACTTGGACAATCCCACAACTCAGGAGCACGAAAAGGGGCAGAACAGTGTTCAGCTGCCCACTCCTGCAAAATGTATCCCAATTTTTTAAGTACAATCAAGGACAGAATAATAAGCACAGAGAACCCAGTCCTAGTCCAAACACATCTCAGTCCTTATCATACGTTCATAACCCTTGTGTATGCAGACAACTACGCTACATAAGGTGATGTTTATAAACCTGGCTATAATGATCATATAGATGAAACATTTTGTATCACCAGATGTCCAGATCCAATCAGAAAGGGCACTCCACCATTACCAGACAGCAAAATAGTAGCAACCAAGCATAATAAATTATACTGATACTTTGATAAGTACGGGAAACTATGAGGTTTCATACTCAGAAGGACAACACAAGGCATACAGCAATTATGGAAATACTCTGTAGGGGACATAAAGGAAGATGAAAAAGAATTAGAAGAGACATTGATTTCTTAATAATTTGTTGCCACAAGGAAGTAAATATAGTAGATAACTCTACTCTCTAAAAAGTTCTTCTCTTACGTTTCAAATGTTGGAAAACTCGATGCTTATGCTGTTACACGGTACAAAATGTTCATATTAAGACAATTTAAGATAAGCATGCACTTGGTCAAGGGTCCACTCTTAATAGCCTAACTCCAGATAGTTGTCCAAGTTAGCTTGGCTTCTTGCTTTACCTTGATGCCATGATCTACTACATTCCATTTGTAATATATCATACAAGCACCTTTACATTGGGTTACTATGCCTACTAATATTCCCAAAAAAATCACTAATGCACATTTACTGGACAGCTCCAAAGGTTAATTGATTAAATGGAAACCCATTGACATCAGAAAAGCACCCCGCTTCAGCATAAAGCCAGGACCCATGAGGTGCTAGAAAATTTTAATATATAAAGCTACAACTCGTGAAATGATATGAAGAAAAGTTACAACGGTCAAATTCAAAGAAATACAGACAGTTGCCTCAGCAAAAAGACAAGAGGATTTAGTGAAGTAATTTAGACTTCACTTATCCTATAAATTCAACTTTAGAAAATTAAAGAAGAATAGGTCATTAGAGCAATGATCCACTAGAGGTGGTTAAAAAGCTTTGAAGTGTCACAAGAAGTCAAATCAATGTTAAAACTTCAAGGGAGAAAACTAACAAGAGGTCTCATTCAACATCAACTATTTATGAGAAATATGAACTAAATATACATGAAATAAAATCTGATAGAAGAACAGCAATTGACCATGATTAATGAAAAAAGAAAGCACCTGAAGCTGCAAAGCTTCTGCACGTGACTGAATTTGCTTTCGAGCAGGACGGGCACTTCCAAAGTCCATCAATATAGCCCGAGGTGCCTGACCCTTTCTGTGTGTGATTAAAATATTCCCAGGTTTGACATCATTATGTGCATATGGAGGATCAAAATGATGCATGTGCTTCAGTCCTGCACAAAGCTGAGAAACATGTATATCAATACAAAATTACAACAATCCTATGCACAGCACAATATGTCGATAGGGTCATAAAATCTATAGTTTTTGCAAGTTCTGTAATTAGAAAATGAGGAAAAGGCAATTAGGGTTTATTAGCACAGTTTGTAACAAATACTTCACTACTTCTTCCGTTCGATTTTAGTTGACATGTTTCTTCTATCCTGTTTTCCAATGGAAAAGATCAATCACAAAATCTTTAATTATAAGTAAATATTATAAAAAGTTGATATTTTGAAAAATTAAAAAATAGATAAAAAAAATGAGAGGAATCTAACAAGACCCCACATGACTGTATTTTCTTAACTATAAACCATAAAAGGTAGTCAAAGTAGAGTGATAATGTCAAAAGCCAAAACATATCAACTAAAAAGATAGAGGTTGTATGAACTAAATAAAGCCAAAATCTCTAGTATCAATGCTCATGCTGAATCTCAAGAAAAAGGCTATTTAATATTTAAACCATCACTTGCATCATAGTAAGAAAATTATAAAGAATGAGAAAACACGAGAACATAAGAGGCCACAAGTTCTCTCTAGAGCAGAGGATCTTCAGGCAACTGCTATAATATGCTCAGAAAGTTGTTAATCAATGCAATTCTACTTTACCTGACGAAATATTTGGAGAACATCCACAGTCGAAAAGAACTCCTTGTTAGCTTTCATAGTGGTTGAGTTGTCCAGCAAAGTTCCATCCAAATGAACTGGGAATAACAGGTATGCTTCATGTTTCCAAGATTGCTCTTGAGTGGCCTAATTATTGCAAACATATTAATTTTAATGACTCTTTTAGATATGAATATACAGATGCACAATCTGCAAAATTGAGAGAGCATTACACTGCTACAAGATTGAAATCATGATCAGCAACTTTACTATACAGCAACCAAGAACAAGAACAGAAAGCTGATGAAAATGCAATTGTTTGCATATCAGAAAAGACTATAAAGCTCCGAAAATTCCACATGGGTCTGTTTTCTTTCCTTGAACTTAATTCTCATAGGATAGACTTAATATCTCTCAAGTTACTCAGATTAGCAATTATCAAGTGAACAGAATAGTCGTACAATTAAACCTTTAATAATTCACACAAGATTATGCCAACTAAATAAGCAATCCCACTGATGGCATAAAAAAATCACTTAAGTTTGAATTCTAAAGCATATTAACGTGCACTAGACAAAGATAGAGATATCCTTTTGAATTTATGAAACAACACTTGAAATGGACATCATCATTACAAGAAGTTCAAAACTCAGACCACAATGGATTTATAGAAGTAAATTTGAAAAAATGGATTCGAAGAGGATAGAGAGTGTTTCAGCCTATGACTTTATCAAAAAATTTAGGCCCAGCTTCTTCTGCCCAGGAAGGAACGAATATAAGATAAGATCATACAAATAATGTTAAAAGAAATCAGAAAATTGAATCTATCAATGAGCCAATGTTTTCTCCTCTTATATCCCATATAACAGACATTATATCTAAGGGCAATAGATCACATGATAGTAACACCAATAAATTCTATTTTTGAGCAAACAACCCCACCAAAAAGATAAAGAGACACTGAGAGGAGGGGTCATAAGATAGCACCTCTCAGACAATAGGACATTTAATTAGTTTTTCTTCAGAGACAAACATAGCTAAAAGAGCACAACAAAACTTGGATGACTAGCATTGAGAATTTTTGCAGTCTTCAGGTTTGAGAAGAAACGCTAATGAATAATTTCTGGAACAGTTACCATGCATAGAAGAAAGATAAGACTAAAATAACTGTCCTAGAGTAATGAAAGCAGAATCTCTATAAAGGTTGCAGTCGGCAAAGGATTAATTGACTCACACAAAATTCATTTCTAAAACAATATAAACAAATATATTTTCTACCCAAACAATAGTCCTACTAAGCTCAATAGATATGATGAATTCCCCAACTCTAATAATGAAATTTGATAAGTGTAGATCATGGAGAGGTAATAATGAAATTTGGATCCAGCCAAAAAAAAAAAGAACGAAAAATATTGTAAAGCCTAGATGATCTTGTTGGGGAATGATCTACTTCAAAAGTGGAGTAGATGATAAACCAAAAATAGTTGATTGTATGTCAAAGTCAATTTGGAATTATAACAGAAATGAAAGAACAACTATGACATCAACCATCTTTTCTCTTTTTTTTTAACAGGTTATGGTCATATTTACTTTTTTTACTCGTCGTAGTAAATAACGTATGCACTCTTCTATTATTATGCTTGTACTTGATTTAAATAACTAGATCTTTATTGATTATCGAGTATCTACTGCTTTCGAAGAAGTCTAGATTCATAATTGTGTATCACGACTCAATTAAAATCAAGCTTATTAGTTGCCCTGCCTCGTGAAACATGAGTTTACAAATCTTTGAACACTTCATAATATCTTTGTAAGTTGTTGTTTTTAAGCATATCATAATTATACATCAATACTTACTCATAATTTTGTTACTCTTCACTCCTTAATATTTCCAAACAAGATTAAAAGTTTAAAACAGCTTCCAGGAAGTATTGAAAAAGCCTTACACTAGATTTATAGTTGATTGTGGTTTCAAAATACTTCATTTATTTATATACATACATGCTTTCAAGTTTCAACACCTTGTAATCCAGATTTATAAGATTAATAAAGCTCAAGGGAGGGGAAAAGAGAAGGATCTAAACACAATCGATTACCTTGACTTTGATGATAGCATGATCAAGAAGGGGAAGCAGATTGGGATGTGTAAACAAAGACGAAACACGGATCTCCTCCCTCACCAAGTCCAGCTGCTCATTGTTTTGAATCAATACTTTCTTCATAGCATAAGTCCCATCATCTAAAACAAGCTCATTTCAATTTACATCACATATAAAATAAAATAAAAATAAAAAAAAAAAACAAATCAAACAGACAAAAAATAACAAATAATCACAATTTCAACCCAACTCATACATTGTTAACCATATTAAGATCAAAATTCCTCATAAGTCATAAACCCACGAATCAAAATTCAAATCAATAAAAATAAATCAGTAAATTACCCCCAAATTCCCATAATTTATACAATATCAACCTCACATAAACTCCTAATTAAAGTCTCGGGATCAAATCCCGGCTACATCATTGCCCTTGGTGACTCAATTTACAATCACACAAACAAAATCAATCCCACCCACAATCTCCAAAACCCCATTTCAGAATAAGATCAGATTAAACATGCAAACAATTGAAAATTGAGTAGATTGAAAGAAACCTGAGAGAAAAGAAGGATCTTTAAGCTTATTTGAAAGACCCCCAGAAGCAGCAGAAGCGTCGGTAACAACTTCTTTGACCAAAAATACATAAGCAAAGCCACCTTCACCAAGCTGTCTTACGATCTTGAATCTATTCTCATTGATCCAAACATCTCCACCTCCATTAACAGCATCATATAGTGCATTTAGCCCAGAAAATGAACACCCCATTTTTAATATCTTTCAATTTTCTCAACTCTTTTTTGCAGTTTCAGTTGAGATCACACTTTCTCTCTCCTCTCCTAAACCTCAGTCTGACAAATATACGACAATGTACAGATTGGGTTTGGAGTTAATTTCTGCAAAATTTGATCTAATTCATGGGGTATAATAAGGAGTATTGATTGTTTAATTAGTAGGAAATATGAATAATTGAATATTATTATTGGAAAATGATGGTAGATGTAAAATTAAATTCCAAGATCTACGCATAAACCGTGTGTGTGAATTGGGTTAAACGATGCACGATTACTACACCCATTCTCCTCACTAATGAGTCCCACTAACCCGGCAAGTTAGAGGGTCAACGAATAGAGTTTCAAGTGTCAACCGAATTATCCATTTTATATTCGGGTATACTTAATTTGACATTTTGTCAAAAATAGTATAAAATATGAACCGCTATTCATCGCTCCCATTTTACATACTAACGCTCCCATTTTAACTTGAATAGACAAATATGTCCTTTATGCAATTTGTGTTATAAAAAGGACTTTGTTCCCCATTTGGACACATTATATGAAACGATCCCCTCACATTACGACGTTGCTATCCCGAGTCCACTAAATCGGTCCCCACGACCTTAAACCACATCGGTCTCCACGACCACCTTAATTTCTTTTATTTAAACAAAAAATTAATCATAAATTTTTTCCAACGGGTCTTGGGTCATGGACGACGAATGGAACATTCGTACGCCGGAGAATGCGTCGGAACATTCTGTAAGTTTTTTGTTTTTTTTTTATATTTTCTGGAAATAGATCCGCCTAAAATTTTCAGATCTACCATGGAACATCCGGAAATTTCAAGCGGAAGGAGAGATCCGCCTGAAACTTCCGGATGTTCCATGGTGGATCCGAAAATTTTAGGCGGATCCACCTAGGGACATCCGGAAGTTTCAGGCGGATGTCCGGATGTCCCTTTCAAGGTTTAATTTTTTTTAATATAAATGTTAATTACGTTTTTTTTTAATGTTAATTAAGTTTTTTTTTTTCGTGATTGTTGTTGTGATTAAGTATTTGATAATTAATGTAATTATTATTGTTTTCTATTAATATGATTATTAGTAATATGATTATTTTTTATAACATTATTATTATTATTATTATTATCTCAAAAGCAAAAGTCATACAACCTACAATAAATTAGTGGGAAGCCGAGATACAATCTGGGCCCCCACTCCTCTAGCTATTGCAAATCCTACCCTAGTGAAGATATGAGCTGCAGCACGAGCCCCAATGTCTTGCGTCGTCGAGAACCTTTGAATCCGCTTCAGTAACGCAATAGCCTCTTTCTCTAATTCCCCAAGCGAAGAAAAGGAGAAGGGAATGAAACCATATCCAATCTCCTGACATCGAGCTTCATACTTAACCCGCTTCCGATGAGCTGCATCAGCCACAACCCGCCCAAGAATGAAGTCAGATAGCCCTGACTGTGTCAAAGGAGAAGACCGTGTCAAATCAACCAGACATCGCGACCACGATCCCATGAATAAAGTAACACATCCGCGGGTCTGAGGGCCTCGTCGTTCCCTCCGGCTAACCCAATGTCAACCTCTTTTCTCGCTGAAATCCCAGAACGATAGCAAACATCAACAAGGGTATCCCGAACAACATTATGCCGATGTTTAATACCCACAATACCAGCACAAGACACTGCGTGGTCACCGAAAATATCTCCAGCAAAAACCCTCGAACAAGCAGAGCACAACGTCGAGATAGAGAACAATGGTACACCCAACCGATAGGAAAACACACAGCGATAAGTCTTGGCGTTCATCGTCTGACCCAACCCTGAAATAGGAACCGCCCGAAGCCAAGCAGAGGTGTGATCACCTTGCTGTGATTTCCACAATGCTGATTGTCGAGGAGTTAAAGAATAAGCAGATTCCGCAGAAGTGGTAACCTTTGTGAAATATATACCTGCCAATTTCTTCATGAGTTTAGGGGCAACGACCTCACTAGGATTACTCAAAATGTCAGACTCCACTGTTCCATTAAACAGACTCAACGCATCCTCAAAGGCTCGTCCAAGACCAACAATGTCAGCATGCCGAAGAAGATGTGTCTGCAACCCAGCAGACTGTAACCGAGAAGCAAGAAAAGCATAGTGACGAACATCACCTGCAAAATAAACACTAAGCCCTCCAAACGCAAATGGTAAGGTGGCAAGCCGCCACTGCCAATCACCAAACCCCGGCCCCGAAGCAATAACAATACGCTCCATGGAAGATCGAAGAGATGCATCAAAAGTGCGCTGAGCCACCTCAAAAGTATTAGGAGGACAAGTACGCAATGCAAAGTAGAGTTTTGAAACTCCAGTACATGCCCTAAGTAACAACAGCTCACACTGAGGATCGTCGAGCATAGCGACCTTATCCATAAGGGCAATGGTCTTGGTCACCCTCTGCATCACAAGCTCACCACTAAATCCAGAATCGGAACTAGCGGGACCTCCAAGCAACCTAACACCACGCAAAGGTCCAGAATATTAGGTGGAAAGACACCCAACAGCCTGCTTCGAGGGTCTTCTGTAGGCTAGAAAACTTCAGTTTTTTCCACATTAAGACATAACCCAGAACGAGGTCCTTCCTCCATAATCAACTGCAGAACTTTCCCCACCACCAAAGTGTCACCAATAATCGTGCCGTCATCTAAATACCAAGCCTGAAGACATACATCAAAAGTCTCTCTGATTTTACACACCAGGGGTTGTAAAACCAAAGAAAAAAGCAAAGGACCAATTATTATTGTTATTGTTATCATTATTGTTGTTGTTGTTGTTGTTGTTAATGTTGTTGTTATTATTATTGTTGTTGTTGTTGATATTCTTATTATTATTATTAGTAGTAGTAGTAGTAGTAATTTTTAATTATTTTTAGAGTATATTTGTTTTGTAAGTGTTGTTATTATTATTGTTGTTGCTATTATGATTGTTGTTAGCAGTATAATTAGTTATTAATGTTAATATTATTAATAGTTGTAATATTGTTTCATAAATATTATAATTAATATTATAAAAAATTACATAATGACATAAACCATGTTTTGCTTAATTTGTATAGGATATGGAATCTGAAGAAGGCAGTGACGGTGTGAATTATAGTGGGAATTTTGTCACGGATACGTTATTTCCAACATTTGACGATGCAGTTACATGGGCTGATGGTGTTTCCATAAATTTGGGATTTATTTTGGTGAAATCGTCTTATAACAAAACCAGAGATGGTCGGCCGTATCGGTATTTGCGATGTGATCGGTCACGAAGGAGCAAGCCGAGAGATTTGGAGAACGCGATACGGAAGGACACAAAAACCAAAGCTAATGGTTGTCCATTCTACATCAAGATATATTATGAAGTCAACACCGACAGTTGGAAGATCATTGCGAAAAATAATCACACCAGGACACATAACCACCCAATGATTGTGTACTAAGAGGGTCACCGTAAAGTGAGCGGATTGAGTCCGGGTGCAAAACAAGTTGTGCGGGACATGACAAAGTCCAAGGTTGTGCCCCGTAACATCATGTCAACTATTGTAGAGCAATTTCCTAATGATCATCCAAACATCCGACACATTTACAATTGCCGGAACGACTTTAGGATGGAGATGTCCGAAGGAAGAGGAGTTGTTCAGCAATTTCTTCATCTGGCGAGAGAGAGTAAATACATTTACTGGGTCATGAATGATGATCACAACGTTTTGCAACATGCATTTATGGTGCACCCGATCATGGTCAACATACTCCGCACATACCCACATGTCATAGGTATGGATTCTACTTACAAGACCAATCGATATAACATGCCTTTCTTTGAGGTAGTAGGTGTGACACTGACAAACCAGAATTTTCTAGTTGGATATGTTTTCATGCGCGACGAGTGCACGACTAGCTATCGGTGGGTGTTGCAGAGATTAAGGGAGTTGATTGGGTTTGATAAAGAGTCATTTGTATTTATTTCAGACCGTGATCTTGGGATATGTGCGGCTTTGAGAGAAGTCTTTCCAAGGACGTCACATTTACTCTGTACATGGCACATCAACAGAGATGTGGAGGCTAAGGTGACGAAGATGTTCGGAAACAAGAAGGTTGGTGCCAGTTTTAAAAATGGCAAATGGTTCAAAATTGTGAATGCAACAACCCAGGCGGAGTATGATCATGCTCTAGCTACCATGCAAGTGAGGTGGGCAAGATATCTGGCAGTGATTCAGTATGTTTAGAGAACATGGCTTTGTCATAAGGAGAAATTTGTGACATATTAGACGATCTAGGTTCTTCACTTTGGTAACACCACCAACTGTAGAGTTGAGAGCCAGCATTCAGCAGTGAAAACTTGGTTTGAATCATCCACGGGTTAGTTGTTTTATTTTATTAGTTGTTGTCGTTATTACGTAATTGAAATTATAATAAAAAAAATTAAAATGTATTTACTAATTTGAATCATTGGCAGGTTCTTTGGATACCGTATGGGCACGAGTCCATTGTCATGTCGGTAATCGAATCATACAAATTCGTAATGAGTTGGAGGCATCAAGGTCTAAAATTGGTCAGATGTACAGACAGTTGCCACTGTCACGTATAAATGGCAAAGTGTCTCAATATTGCTTGAAAGAACTTCATAACGAGGCGAAAAGGATGCGGGATTTGAGTTACCAGGTCTATGAACGTTGTGGATGTGCTATGTGTGTGACTCATGGTCTTCCATGTGCTTGCAGATACATGATTCGATAGTTGCACAGACAGGATTGTATAGCAGCCAAATTCATTCTTTCTGGAAGACATTGGTTATTGGTGATGGTGTTAACATTCCTAAAGTGGTTAATGATTCGACCGAGGAGGCTGCACATTTTTGATCCCTAATTGATGAAGTAATGGAAAGTGACCTGGCCGTACGTCGAAATGTAACGCGAATCATTGAAGAGGAGCTACATCCGGATCATACACACCTTGAAGAACCACATGTGAACCTCAACACTCGTGGTCGACCGAGGAACAATGACACCAGGCGTGATCGAAGTTTTTTCGAGCATGTGAACCGCCAACACACTCAACGTGGTGGTGACCCACAACCAGGTAATATTAAAATTCTATTGATTTTGAAAAATATATGTAATATTAATATATGTAATCTTAATACTTGTAGCTTTACTAATAATTTACCTTTTAATTATGTGCAGTAGATCCGAGTGACATTAGTCAATGCAGGTATTTGAACTTGCTTCCAGGCCCAATGTTGCCGTACATTTCGTCTTGGAAGGATGTCATTGGTGATGGGAACTGTGGCTTTCGTTGTGTCGCCGACTTCTTCTATGGCAATCAGGCGTTGTGGTTTGACGCTCGGGAAACAATAGCGAACGAGATCTCCGGTCATCTTGATTTGTACGAACGGATTTACGGGCTTGGACGACTTTGGATGAACGTAGAGCGTGTTCGATGGGATGGTGGGGCTGTCGGGGAGCAGTATTGGATGGTTACAATTCAAGATTTATTTCCTATTGCTACGTGGTTCAACGCAAGGGTGATTTGTCTCGGAGTAGGCCTAGTACCAACTTGCTACTACCCATGCATCACAGTCTTACCGCTGAGGGCACGCAACGGGGTTCAGACACCGAGTCGAGAGTTTGTGATTGCTACAGTTGGTGGATCACATTTCATCTGTCTTGACCTTGTACCTGATTCACCTCTCCCGCCGATCGTCGGTTGGTGGACTGAACACCACGAGGATAGTGTTAATGGATGGGATCAACAATATGAATTTAGAAGGAACATGTGGGATGCATTAGTTAATTAGGTAGTTTATAATGTACATTCACTGACTTTGAACATTTGTAAGAAAATTAGAATTATGAAATTAATTTACATTTAATGTACTTGCTTTTAATCTAACATGGTATGCAACAAAACATAAAATATAAAATAAATCAGTGTCTAGTTTTTACATTACATTTAAAAAAAAAATCAGTTCAACAAGTAATTAAAACCACTAACACGACTTCTAATCAAAATAATCTAAAGTCCCATTTTTGACTTCAAATCAAATACAAGCTGCTCAGTCCTTGTCCGAGTCTCACTCGACATTTCAGGATACTCAGCCAGTGCTCTTTGGTGAATCTCCATGGACCGACCCATCCACTACAAATCAAACAATAACATATTATATACACAAAAATTCGTAGAAGTCATTCTTAATATTATAATAAGCCTTGCACGAAACCAAGCTGTCGCACCACTCTATCAGGCATGTACGGCTCAATGATGTTACGGTACTGGATGCAGCCAATGAATAAAGTGGGGGGCATTCGTAATGCAGGATCAGCTCCGTAGGGTAGCCAGTTCACCTCACGGTCAGTAAGCGCGTCAATTCTAGTACGAAAAGATAACAGGCGCTCCAGGTTCTTGCTAGGACATCCCGCTCCAACATCCCAAGCAGACGCACGAGGCATTTGAAGGTCCCGGGTCAAGGTACCCTGCTGTGACTGAAAGCACGGAAAGTACTCGTAAATCCACGCTTGCAGAAGCGTGAGACAACCAGCAATCGAATCAACACCTTTCCGCGATGTCGTGCCTAGTTGCCGATACAAGTAAGTCAGTACAGTTGTTCCCCAAGCATACTCGTTAATAGGGACATCCATATAACATAGCTCGTGGAGGAAGGAAGGATGTGTACGGTTACCACTCTTGTCTATAAACAGTGTACCTCCAAGCACTAACCACAAGTATCCATTAAGCTGATCACTAAACTCCCGGTCAACCACCAATGTCGACTCAAAAATCTTATCAGTCAACACCCCACTACCCTGCCAAATCGTCTTTGTGCCGCAAATCTCAGACAAATCATCTGGAGTCATATCCATGGTGATCGAGCACGCGTCCCGTAACACGTCCATGCTAGGAGTAGTGGTGACCATATTGCCTTCGACACGTAACCCAAGTATGTTGTACACGTCGTGCAACAAGATCGTAATCTCCCCAAATGGCATATGAAAGGTGTTCGTATCTGGCTGCCATCTCTCAACAAAAGCAGAAATCGGCGGCCAATCAAGTCTTTTAAACATCAGGCCGGGCAAGTGAGACAACCAACTACCATCAATCACCCCGAGGTTCTCCACTGATTGACGACCTCGCCAAGTAAACAAGTCAGAACATAACTTTGTCCTACTCGAATAGCGCAAAACACTACGCTCCTGCTCGATCCAGATATATCGTGCCACGTGACCACCAAAACTAGGGATAACAGTCCCATCCTCAGGACCACCCGGCATCGGTTCCTGCACTAACCATGCCTCTGCTGGTAGTAGGCTGACTCGATCCACTACCAACAAATCTCCCAAACTGACCCGTATATACCGTATGGTAATCCCGAGGGTCCGGTTCTTCATCACGGTCATCAGCATGACTAGCCGAGAATTCGTCTTCCTCGTCAGATGTAGGTGTTCCACTCGCAGAGTACAAGGGCCGACTACTACCAGACTGTGGGTCCCCCGACCAACCACTAGTAGACCCGTATTGCTGCTCGGGCTGAAACGGTGCTGAACGAGTTGATTGTCTCCTAACAGACACATTCAGACGTCGTGATATTGCATGTCGAGCACCAGAACCCTCGATCTACATAAAATAAGTACAAAATCCGATTTTAATAATAATAATAATAATAATAATAATAATAACACCAACAATCATAATCATAATCATAATAACAACAACAAAAAAATTAAAATTAACAACAACAACAACAATCACCATAATAACAATAATAATAACAACAACAACAAAAAATAAAGTTAACAACAACAACAATAACCATAATAACAATAATAAGAACAACTACAACAACAACAACAACAAATAAAATTAACAACAACAACAATAACCATAATAACAATAATAATAACAACACGAATATCAACAACAATAATACTAATCATAATTAAAAAAAATAATAATAGTACTACTAATAACAATAATAATAATAACTATTATTATTATAATAACAACAAAAAAAAAATTAACAACAACAATAACCATAATAACAATAATAATAATAAAAACCCTAATATCAACAATAATAATAATAATAATAATAATAATAATAATAATTAAAAAAATAATAATAGTACTACTAATAACACTACAAAATTTGCTTCAAAAAAAAATAACACTACAAAATAACAACAAAAATAACAAAATTCAAAAAAAATAATAAAATAAATAAACAACAACAACAATCATCAAAATAATAGTTAACATAATAATAAAAATAACAACACAAAAATCAACTAAAAATAACAATAATAAAAATAGAAATAATTCCAATCAGAATTTTTTTTTAAAAAAAAAACATATTATTCACGGAAAAAAAAATTACAAAACGGAACCTGGGAGGATTCGCCCAGAAATTCCGGATGGACCTGGGAGGATTCGCCTGGATTTTCCGGATCCTCCTAAGTACTTCCGGAAATTTTAGGCGGAAGTTAGATCCGCCCAGAATTTCCGGAAGTACCAAGGAGGATTCGGATTTTTTTAGGCGAAACCTCCTTGGTACTTCCGGAAATTCTGGGCGGAAGCCTAGAGGTTCCGTTTTAAAAAAAAAAATTACCTGCTCGCCACCAAAGCCGCCACCGCCGCCCAAACTCCTCCCTTCGAATGTAAGCCTTATTCGCCTCGAATTACCCATCCTTTTTTGTGTTTTTTATGATTGTTGTTTTTTTTTAATTAACAAAAAAAATTTCAGATTTATATTTTCAAGTATTTTAGAGAGTTAGAGAGTAAGAGAGATAGTGAATGAGGTAAGATAGTGAGAATGTGAGTCGTATAGTGGAAAAAAACGTATTTAAATGTTAGGGGTAAAATTGGTACTTCATACAAAAATGCGAGCGTTATCCTATAAAATGAGAGTGACGTTTAACAATGCCCTATAAATTACCAAGTAATAAGATGAAGTTAAACTTGTATTGAATGATGAATCATTTTATTACACATCTTTTATCTTAGAAATGGTATAGGATCTTATATCGACATTATTGGATAACCTAGCCCTTAAACCAATTTTGGTGCAAACGGGAGGCTAGGCCTCACAAGACATGTAGAATTGTAAACAACCACCATGATTAAAAAAAAACTTTACTATATTGATGTTTGTTCTTATTGGTTTATTATCACAAGACATATAGACAACCACCTTGATCCACGTAGACATTTATCACCCACTTGTTAAGTATTGTGGGGCACCTTGACGTAACACATACTTATAAGTATTCAATAATACTCACCACATCATATTCCAAGTGTATAATTTTGTTACGCTTACAAAGACCTTAATTATAATTTTGAATTTTATGTCAATGAAGCGAGTTTTCTCAAATATAAATCGGAGATGTTAACTTATATTGACTTTGCAAGTATTAGGTCGAATCAAAGCCACTTATCCACACTAAAAACAAGTTTTTATACCGGAACATAAGCCTTAAGCAATGCTTGAAATTTTAGCATAGTAGTCGAGTTTATGGGTAAACAACAAAAGTTTCGCAAAATCACTTGAAATTGAAAGCCAAAATTGAAATTGTTGGGTATTGGTCAAGTTTTCTTGTCATTTTATGAATTTCGATAAATTGTTGTTAATATATTTAGGAAAAATTAACCAATTAATCAATTGTTGTGAAGAAAAAAACGGATTTTTTCTTTACCACCACTATACAAAAGGGCAACGTGCAATCATATAGTTACTCATAGGACTATAGGGTGAGCTCCGAAGAAGAAAGAGCGATATAAGTTTGTGGGGTGTATGTTTTCTTTGATACAGTATAACTGTATAAGATTATGAGCACTTTCGCATTGTTTCACTTTCAATATATAACACTAAAAGTTAGTGTTTAAAACAAACAACTGCTTTAATTTTCCATACTTAATGCAAGTATCGCATGCATATAGGAGTAGTAATAGGACTAGTAAGAAAAAATTAGTCCTAGTATAGATCAGCCAGATCCGTCCTAAAATGATCGCCTTATACAATGTATATTGTTCGCTTCTTGTTATTAAAAGGGGAAACAACCCGAAGCCAAGCTTCAGGTAAACTAAATAACAGGTAATGGAAGGCTCTCAACTCGTAGCACTCCTGCTAAAGTTTACTTCGTAGCTGGCTGCTGTTGGGTAATGCAATGTATATTACCGCCTGCCAAAACAATTTCTCTTGCACCTTCGATTTTTACTACCTGTAGAAACCCGTTGTCATAGTTAGTTTTCTTCGAAAGACAATTGCTTTAGAAGGATACATATTAGAAAGTTTATGATTATGTTGAACACAATCCTCATACAAAATCAGCCACTTTAGTGTTTGATCATCTTTAGCAAACTCAAATGATAAATCGAAGCAGTCCTCATGCAAGGGTACAATTTTATTGGCCATTGGACCTCAGAAAGGAGAAAGGAGGCAGGGAAAAGGCAAATACAAATACAGAGTAGTCTATACTGTATCGAGACACAAGGAGAGAGGGAGGAAGCTATAAGTGTAGCATTTGATTGTCCCTTTGCATTTCATATAAGCTTTTGCTTCAAAAACAAAGGCCTGCCAAAGATGTTAATAGATGGGATTCTTACTAATATCTATTCTTCATCAAATTTATCATTTTGGAGAAGCAGACAGTAAAAGATGAAGGACGCAAACACAAATTCCAATGAACTTTAATTTTTTCTTGGTCCAGAGGGTAGTGGTATCTCTAACACCTAAAGAAGATAAAAATGTCAAATGTGGATGCAACACAGGCTCACCCATACCTGATGCAAATTAATTCCACTTTGAAGGAAGGGTGGATAAGATTCGAACCCGTGACCTTTGTGTCACGCTAGCTCCGATACCATGTTAGTGGACCAACTCAACCAAAAGCTTAAGCTTATGGTTGAGGCCCAGAAATATGTTTTATACTCTATCACACATAAATCTGGCTTTGTTACCCACATATGACATACCTTGACCACAACGCATTGGACACATATACTAAAATTACTCATAAACTCAATTAACACAGTTTGAGTGGTGGCAAGAGAAAATCTGAACGAACAAAAAGACAGAACGGAGGAGGAGAGAGTATGTGTGAGAAGGAAAATAAAGATGAAGAACAGACAAATATTGGATAATGAAGCAAAAAAAACATGAATTGTCTGTGCATATTTACCTCGTAATCTGGAAAGGCTTTTGATAAAACACGAACAGCTTCATCGTCCCACTTCTTATCTCCAAATTGAGGAGTTATAATCCCTCCATTGGCAATGTAGAAATTTACGTAAGATGCAGCAAGTCTAGTACCAGGCTCTCTTGGTTTTGCCTCACCATCCTAACACATTAGACAAGCAAACTCAATATAAGTACAAGAGATGTACAATCATCAAAACTTCATATTGTAGAAGTCTGCAAATAAACATGTGTATACATGCTGATCCCTTCGGCTTAGCTCTCTATCCACTAGGATGAAATAACGATTATGCATTCGGCCTTGATTGATAGTTACCAATCATAAGATCAAGAAAAACAGAAAGCAATATGATTCAACCAGCCCAACCACAGTTTATGCAAAAGAACCAAGCGCAAATATAAGGGGATATCATCATTTGCACTTTTGCAGTCACTTTCCAAACAATGAATTCATATTTATCTAGGTAGGCTCACTATAAGCAAGGGACAGAAGTCCTAGCTTGGTGTGATGGGATTCAAATGCCTGCAACAAGGCATTATGGAAACAGGTCGACTAATTGACAATGAATAATCATACTACAAGGTGGAAAAATTAGGGAAAAAATAAAAATCAAGTCATCCAAAACAGGAAATCATCAATGTCTTTATTGTTAAAGAAAGACCAATCACATTTAACATCTGACAGAAATCCAGAGTCACGTGTTATTTTCAAGCGAAAAGCTGAAACTTCATAATTTTTAGCACTACATAATACACATTAAGTGTTATCTAAACAGAATGGAATGAAGCGCTTAGAAGGATGACCAAGAAACAGAGTTACGAACTTGTCTACATAAGAACCCAATCTACTCACCTGGATGATACCTGCTGATTCCTCGTCTGTCATATACAATGGACCGGGGATATGAAGTTTCACTACTTCTAATTTTCTACCGTTGGCATCTGTGGCATTGGAGAGAACTGACAAGGCTTCAAGGGCTCGTTCATAATGTGGATCTGATTCATCATCTGTCCAGGATAATAGCACCACCCCAGGCTTCACAAAGCAGCACATGTTATCTATATGACCATTAGTATCATCATCGCCTGCACAAAAATTGTAACTAGTAAGATTCAGCAATTAAACCTTCATAAGACATGAAGAAAGCCACGCAAACTGCCCTCAACTCACAACAAAGGGTGCTTATCATATCAGCATATACCACCTTCACATGGAAGATAATAGAAAGATGTCAAAAAATTAAATTTGTAAGTAGCTAAACAAGTGGGTTTTGTTAGAAAAATTAACCTCTCAATATTACATGATTATGGTCATGGTGTCAACACATACAACATTAATTTTATTCCTCCATTTGATGAAAGAAAAAAACCTTCGCCACAAGAAGCCAAGACTACTTTTTGTGACTCCCTCCCCCAACACATGAACATAAACAACAAACAAGAGTATAAAAGAGAAGGGCACAGAATGGTATTTCAACATTCCCCAAAGATCTAGACAAGAATAGAAGATTAAATGTGATGACAACTGAGTATTATTCTATAATGTGCACGTACAAATTTGAACAGAGAATGATATTTTATCATCAATTATTAAATCATCTGCCACAACCTTTCAAAAAGTCTAGAATCTATATAACCTCAAGTGACAAATGAAAACTTTACTAAATTCTGAAGACCATGGTGGCATGAAATACAAAAATTTAGAAATAACAATATGTAATACTGCAGCATGTAATACATCTACAAAAATAAATTACCATGTAATCCTCGTGGAAGCCAGATAATCTTCTGGACCCCGAGGTATTCCTTAAGATTATCCTCTATCTGCTCTTTACTCATGTGAGGGTTTCTGTTTTTGTTTAGGAGGCATTCCTCAGTGGTGAGGCAAGTTCCTGATAGGAAAAGAGATTTAAAGAATGCAAAATATAAGCACTGTGAACACATTACAAATGAAATTCCAGTGAGAAAAAAGGAATTAGGATCCCCCTAAAAAAAGGAAAGAAAAACATGGATTGTAATACACGACTCACAGGTTATACTCTAACTGACAGTATCGAATGAATCTAAAACAATGGTAAATGAAACGATAAAATGTAAGAACTCTTGAAACAATGACTCACAAACATTGATACATATCATACTCAATAGTCAATAGATCAATTCCTTGCCAACCACCATCCGAAATTCCAAATCCCCTAAAAAGATACACAAGAGGACAATACTAGAAGAGTGCCGCTAAAAGGCTTCTCCCCTCTTAACAACTTTTTTCTTTTTTTTTTTTCTTTTTTTTTGGGGGGGGGGGGTGTTTACCTTCCCCGTCAACATGGATGCTTCCGCCTTCTAAGATCATAGAATGAGGAAATCTTGGCAATTTCTCAATTTCTAAAATCTGCCAGAAATAGCAAAAATAAGAAAAGCATTTAGATGAATAATGGTGAGCATATATGCACAATGGTGAACATCATCAGGGATCCTGACATAGTGACATTACTGACATACAAACTAACCTTCCTTGAAACAAGGATGTCATGACTCCAATCCGTATAACAGCCATCATCAACTCCTATAAGATATTACAAAAACAACCAAACTCAGGATAACATGATGTCTAAAGTTATAAAATCAATATATCTGTTAATCAACCCAAAAAAGGGAAGGAAAAAAAAAAAAAAAAAAAAAAAAGCCTACTACTTTGAAATAGCAATCCCTTCTATGTCAATTCAGACCCTAAGGATACAAATTACAAGGCCACAACTCCCAGTGTTATTAAGACAGAAGAGCACAATAGTTGAACATTACACTACCACAGATTCACAGAAGCTGGCAAATGCTAAAGCATAAACTTATTGTGCATTTGCATTGTAACACTAAGCTAAACATGTATTAGAAAAAAAATAGAATTTAGAACCTTATAGTGTCTGCTTAAGAATCATTATAGCACTTACCGCCCCAACTGTTGAAATTCCAATCAATTCCAGCTAAACTTTTCAAGGGAGCGCCTAAACTTGATACATTCTTCCTTACTACAAACTGAACATTATAAATGTAAACTAAATTCAATGCTCAAATATAAAAGGAGTTGTAAAACCAAGAAAAATCAAGGGCCTGAACAAAAAAAAGAAAAACACTGAAAGACAAGATGAAAAAACTCACAGTAGGTCCTGAATCACGAAACCAGGAATCATTCATACTCATTTCTACAACCCTGACATTAGGAGGTAATTGACTCCTTGCATTTGTCCACTGTAGAGTTAATACAGAACAGCTCTCAATGGCAATGCAAAAGAACATCAACTACTATATTCGTAGTAAAAGCAAAACTTGAATTAAAACACCATCTAACCTGAGTAGGGCTAGCACATACAGTGACTGGCTCAAATTTTGATATTGCAGTTGCTACTTTCGCAAATACGTTCTGAGCAGGGACTGCATTATCTCGCCAATTATCTGGCCGTTCCTATTAAAGCCGATATCCATAACAATTACATTATCAATGAGCACAGAAATGAACAACATGCTGGTTTTTTAATTCAACATTGAAAAATCTGCTTTACTAGCACAAAATCAACACCATTCACCCGTAGCATTACAATAAAAACAAAATTTTCAAATTGAAAGTAAACCTAATAGCAACACCCATTTCCGACTTCACACAAAAATTGAATACATGAGCTATTCAGTAAGATTATTCAATTCAGTCCACTACAATTCAACTTCATTTTTTTTATTTTTAATTTGATAACTTAGTCAGCACCAATATACTAACTAGATGAGCTTATACATCAAGAAGCAACAGATTAATTAACATATTATAAAATGCAAAGTTACGCAAATGAGATCATATACTCGGGAGCATGATGCTAACAAAAGAAGAGTAAATAAACCGGAAACGAAAAGTATTATAGGAATTAGTAAGGAAAGCAAAGAGTTTCTTTACCGGCCATCCTAACCAACAATGGGAATGGGGTTCCCATTCAGCAGGCATCCAGTACCCATTTTCTGCTGGAGTACCTATGTCCTCCATCTTTATCTTTTACTGAAAATATCCAAAACAACCAAAAAAATAAATTTTTTCTTACTTTCTTATAACAAAAGCACTTCCTTCAAAGTTGTAACACTTGGGGAAAAGGCTACAAAAGCATGAATGGAATATTAAGAGAATAATATATGCAGTCAAGCCAGTAGACCACCACTGCCCACTGGACGTATTATAAGTTACTCCATCCATCCCATTATATAGTTTCAGTTTGTGTTTTTCCACGATATTTAAAAAATAGGAGAGAATATGAATGGAGTGCATTAATAAAAGTGAAAAGTACAATTACAAAAGTTAGAGAGAAAAGTGGAAAAAAAATAAGAGTAAATTAGAAAATTTAATAAATAAAAAATTGAGAGCGTCTTTGCATACTATTAAAAATAGAAACAAGAATAATATTTTGAATCTCTAAAATACAAAAACATAAACCAAGACGGAGGGAATATAACAATAAATCAGAGTGAAGGATACGTTAAGTGGTTAGAGCTCCCCTCCCGATCCCATGCCTAGGATTGATTCTCATCACCGCCCATGTGGCTCTCTAAAAAAAAAAAAAAAAACACTACTGAAATAATTTAGGGTGAACCCCTTTTCCCCACCAACCAAGCTATCTTTAAAGCTTTGTTTGGTCCACTCAAACAACCCATTTAACACGCTAACGCCAATGGAGGAGGTTCCGCCGTTGTCGGCGACAATGCTTCGCCGGGAAACAATTTGCTGCAATTTTAATTGATTTCTAATTTTTGGGTTTTCAATTAATTTCTGGGTTTTTGCTGAATTTGAAACTTTGCATTATCAATAAATTAATATAATAGTTTAATCCGGAGTACTCGGGAAAGAAAAAAAAAAAAACTGATTGAGAAGTGGATTTACAATAAAAATCAAAAAAACATAAGAACAAATAAACAATTGATAAAATTGAAATATAATGAATAAGTAACTTACGGAGTAGAGTATCTTTGTTTGAAGCTTAAAATTTAATTAGAATTGCGAACGGAGAGGGGGGCGCAGGGAGGAAAGGCAGAGGATGAACAGAGTGCATTCACTGTATTTATATCGTAGGAACTAATGTAGGAAGTAAATAACAAGTACAGAGTAGCTTTATAAAGCAAAACATAACATTATTATTTAAGTTTTTAAACGAGATTATTAAATTCATTTCTGACCGAATCTACTGCTATCAAACAAATACTCCGTAAACAACAAAGAGAATGTACCTAGTAACTTGTAAGTACTACCTCGGTTCCCTCTATTCTTTATGTTAAATCGTTGCACATAACTTATAATGAATGTAGTATTATCCTGAGCCAAAAGTAAACATATAAATAGAATGATTATAAACAACCACCACCAATAATGTAATACATTAGTCACCCAATTTGACGCAATTATCACACTCCCTCCGTGTTTTTTTAAGTGTTAAAGCTTGACCGGCATATAGTTTTAGGCAATTTAATTGACTTAAATAAAATAAGAGGTAAATGGGGTACTTGGAGTATTAAAAAATTGTAAAAGAAAGATAGTGGAGTTAATAGTTATTGAAAAGTAATGAATGTGAGAGGAAAAATAGTAGTGGGCTTGGGTGGGGACCATAAGAGGAGAGAAAAATAATATTTTAATGTAGCTTTTGGCCAAAAAAGGAAGTGTAACACTTAAAAAAACACGGCCGGAAATGGGAAGTGTAACACTTAAAAAAACACGGAGGGAGCATTCACATTAGGCTACAAAAATCATAACAAATTTCTCTTAATTAAGGGCATATTCTCTTCAACTTAATTTCAGTTCAATTCATTTCAGTTCCAATCCGTTCAGTTCATAATTTTCTTCTCTCCTAAATAGTTCAGTACAGTACAGTACAGTTCAGCTCAAATCAGTTCAGTTCAGTTCAATACAGTTCAGCTCCAATCAGTTTAATTGAGTTTAGCTCAGTAAATCAGAACAAGCCCTAAACTTGGCAATCCTGACCTGACCCGACTCGAATGATCCGACCCGCGACCTGGAAAATGACATGAACCCAAACTGAACCCACACCCGACTCGAAATGGAGTTGACTCGAATGTGATGCGATGCCTAAACATGGGCAACGGGTCGTGTCGTGCCTGGCCGTGTCGCGGTGGGGTCGTGCCGTGCCGTGCTGGCTCCGCCGTGCCTGAAATTGGCACACCCCAGCCCACGGCACGGCCCACATACCTTGCGGGCCGTGCCGTGCCGGGCCGCGGGCCAAATCATGCCACCCTTTTTAATTTTTTTTTTTTTTAATAAATGAAAAAAAAACGAATTAAACGATATATATTTTTTTAGTACAACTTAATATATGTGATTAATTTATGTTTATGTTAATGTTAATATAATTTGTTTACATTTTTTGACCAACTTTATTTTAGTTTAGGTTATATAAATTATTTATCTAATTAATAATTATGTTTAAGTTTACATAAACAAATAAAAACAATTTTATTAATTTAGCAAAAAACAACAATGCATATAATAAAAAAAAATATACGAGTGCGATAATCCGAAAACACAAAAAATTGAAGAATAACTTATTTTATTATATGACGGTAGCCGGTACGAATGTACGATAATTTAATAATATAAAATAATTAATGATAATTAAAAATCGTACAATAATGATAATTAATAATACGTGTCGGGTCATGCCTGGCGGGCTTGTGTCGTGCCGTGCCCGGCCATGTTTCGTGTCGTGCCGGCGGATCGTGCCAGCGTGCCGGCCACCGTGCTACGTGCCGTACCCGTGCCGATTTCCGAAAAAGTGTTCACGGCACGGCCCACAGGTAGGCCGCCATGCCGTGTCGTGCCGGAGTCGTGTCGGCACGGCCCGTGCCCATGTTTAGCGATGCCCAAAATGACCCGACTCGAAATTGACCCAAAACCCAAACTTAACCCAACCCGAAACTCGAAGTAACCCAAATTGATTTTAACCCGGATTAATTGACCCGAATCGACCCGACCTAAAGTGACCCAATTCCTGGAGTGAATAGGGTGAAATGGTTAGGGCTTCTTTCTTTCTTGATAAATAAGGTTAGTCACTTTTTTTTTTTCGATTTTACTTTCTTCTGACTCGACCCAAATTAACTCGACCCAAAATTAACCTGAAAATTGGTCTTAAAAATTGACCCGACCTGACTCGACTTGAACTGACGCAATCCGAATTTGACTCGACCCAACCCGAACTTTACCCAAAGTGCTAACCCGAAACCCGAATTGACCTGACCCGACCCGAATATTTGCTGATCCAAAATTGACATGACCCTAACAACCCGTTTGCCGGGTCTAACAAGCCCTAAAAATATCACGTTAATTGAACATAACCAAATTCGAGAAACATAAACGATCATTGTAAAAAGTTAGAAGCTCCTTAAATATGAAAGCGTAAGCTGGGGACTGGGGTGGCCGTGGGTGGTGTCAACAATAAAAAGTGGCCGTGGGTGGTGTCAACAATTAAAAGAATCTATCCCATGCCGCCACCTAGTTGGGTGTTTTTTTTTTTTTTTTTTTTTTTTGAGTGAGCTGAATTCAATATCAGAAATGGGTTCCTTCATGTGAAATAATTATACTAGGTATATATCTGCCTGCTTGCTCAGGGTAAACGCACACACAAAAAAAAGGGGGCAATTAGCATACCCTTACCACATAAAAATGATACAGAGAGAAGTTTGGGGTCATTGATTATATTACTACATCAAGAAAGAGTACAAAAACAATCCTAAGCATTTCTCAGATCATCTTTCTATTCATGCTAAAGGGTTTTTCAAAACATAGATGATGTCAATTCACGAATCTCTGATGAAACTTGTTCAGATTCTGACTTCAATTTCTCTTGATCTTCCTGGCTTAGTTCCCCCTTTGCTGGCTTGTTTAGCACCAACACACAGCAGGTCGGTCGCTTAGTTGCCCCAGCGCTTGCAAGATCCTGGAAAAGATAACATACATTAGAAAGAACATCCTTTTCCCAAACTACAATTATATGACAGAGTAGTTGCGCATCGGGGAAATCAACCTACTAATATTGCCAGCCTAAGAAGATTAATTTTGAATTTTGAACCCCCAAAGAAAATCCTCATCATATAATACATCCATACTATGATCACCACCAGCAAAAGAGCTTTTTTTAGATTGGCCTAGCAAAAGTTTCTTAATTTTCACTCACAAGTGTATATGGGGAGGGGAGAGGCTTTTCTTACGCATAAATCAGAGAAATAAGACAGAGCTATAAGTGATATAACAACATAAAATAAAAACGAAAAATAGAAACCTCACGTCACAAAAGAAAGCCTTGGAATATCTCAATTAGGGGCATGCATACACAGGGCAGCAGGGTCGGCATTTCAGGAAGCTTGAAACTGTTATGATTTTACAGAAAATACAATAGCAAAGAATGCAAAGGAATTGCTACGTGCCAAATGAGTGGAAGGGCATCAAATATCGATAATTAAGATCCACTCAGCCTCAAATCAAAACTATGCAATATGGAAATCGACTTGTCTCACTATCATTTCTATCCTTTTGCCCTCTGCTCTTTCACCCCTTTCTCACTCTATTCTCATGTTTTTCCACGGTCTTAGAGACAGTTGAAGACCCTGTTTTGCAACCTCAATTCTCCAACAGAAGCCACTCAAAGCATATACATATTGGGTGATATGAAGGAAGCAACTAGGCATGCAGCATATAATGGTGTTATTTCCTAATGCAATCATGATAGTAACAAGGATTGTACAAAAGCAAACATGAAAACCAAAAACTGGTCCAGAGGGGCAAGCCAGGCAGCATACAAGTAAAAAAAAAACAAAAGCAAGTAAAATAAGGGAAAGTTACTAAGTTAGACAAAGAGTCTTATGCAACATTATGAAAGATAACATATGTTAAAATAATACACAGAGTAATAAAGAATGGTCTACTACAACTTACTTCTTTAGAAGGAACATATACGTAAGGAATTTCTGATTCTTCGCATAAGATTGGAACATGAGTGATGACATCAATTGGCGATATGTTTCCAGCAATCACACAAATTCTGCATCCACCCAATTAAAAAAGTCAAAACTACCATACTGAGGACTGTATAGCCCAAGGAAAGCTGAGACATTAATATTATTAAAATGATGGCCAAAACAAGAAGAAAACCACAAACTTCAGACAGAAACAAGACAAGCAAGCATCCTAGGACTAGAAATCTGATAGCTGAAGTATATAATAGCTAACAGAGTTACTGTCATTTGATCCTTCACACCTGTTTAATTGGGATTATCACATTACAAAAAGTTTATCCATCAATGAAAAGTGAAACTATAGCCAAATTTATTAAAAAAACATAATAAAACAAACTGGGGATGTTATACAGTGTTATCTGACATTCAAATTCCGAAAATTTGATCAGGAGGAACAAGGGAGAATATAAACATAATAATAACCTAATCCTACAACATTACCCAAGCAAAACCCCAAATCACACTGTATAAACCAACTTCAAATACAAATACTCGTCACTGTAACAAACAAGAAAATTTTCAATTGGTATCGTCCAACATCCACCCCACCAGCTCATTTCCGATCCATATAACATGCACAATCCACACAATGTCATCTTTCCCCTAATCCACAAAAACCAGCACATGGTTGATAATTGCTAAATCCATGACAATAACGCAATAACTTCAAACTCGATTCGAAAGCCAACATGTTGAGCTTCCACCATAGCAGTCAGCACATGAACAACTCTATCTATTAACAACAATGTAAAATTAACAAAAACCTAAACCACCATATTCAAGCAAGAGTATACTAATTCCTACATAATCAATTAATTAACATCAACATTATACATAATTACAAAGTAAAACATTGGAAATATACCCTTTATGACCGCGTCTGATACTCTTGACAACTTCCTTAACTCCTCTCTTCAAACATTTGTGCTCAGCAGCTGAAAAAATTCAAAACCACCAACAACAAAGTCACAATTAAATCTTCAAATCCAAAAAAAATAAATAAAAAAAATATCAACAAAAAATAAATAAAAAAAATTGCGAGAAACATTGAAAATTACCTCGGCGAATAAGTTTGTAAGTGCGTTTGCAGAGCTTTTTACCGGCAAGAGGTTTAGCAATGGGAGCGAGAGCTATGGCCTTCTTCTTCTCCTTGTGAGCTGACTTCTCAGTTTCACTATCGCTTCCCATTTTCTCTCTCCTCTCGCTTGATTGATGGTGCTGTTGCAGAGATGGCGGAAGAAAATTAGGGTTTAGGGTTTATGTGATTTGGGGGGGATGAAAAGAAAGGGGGTTATAGAAGGTGGAAGACAAAGGTTTTAGGAGGCTGGCTTTTGTTGAGGTGGGCTCAGGATTTATTCATAGGCCTAGAATTAGCCTGCTATTGTGTTATGTTTTTACGGCCCGATCGGTAATTAGCGGGTAACTGGTTATTAAGAGTCGGTTGCATTGATTGATTTGACTAGCACTCTAACAGAAAAAAGTATGTGCTATTAAAATTACATGATAGTATGTTTAAGTATTTGTTTTACTGAGTGTCTAATGTGTGTCCATGGGCACATGTTAAATTACAAAATTAAAGGATTTTCTAACATGTGCCCACTTTGTTTCATTACTTGAACATGTAGAAAGAACAAACAAAGACATTGTTATTTGGGTGGAAAGGTGTGTAAGCCGTGTAACCATGGTGACTTCAAGATATGATTGTCATTTGGTGAATGATGTGAAAGTCCCATTGATTAAGGAGAGAATGTCACGTGACATGTAAATGTATTTCATAATGCTTTTAATATGTGGTATAGACATATACTCTGTAAATAATTCGTGATTTGTACACTCGGGTGTACCATGCGCATAGTACACCCAAGCAAAAACGACATCCTCTTCTTCATAAAACGCATGCATCAAATAAGCTTAAAAAAAAGCGGAAAGAACATCATGTTAGTAAATAATGTACATGCATATTCTAAAGAACATCAAGTCAAAATAAAAAGAACGCGAGATTTTCTCAGCATAAATCTTTAATTACGGAAAAAGATGTAGTCATGATGCATATTAACTGATAAAATCTTTACAAAATTTATCATTTTCCAAAATTAGTTTTGCTCTCTCTCCGAAAATGCAGTTTCTCATATTTTTATATAATTCTCTAACATTTCACATAAAAATAATTTAAGATTATTTTTTATTGGAAAAATTGTTAAAAATAAAAATAATCTCAACTTTGATCGGTTCGCTCAAAATAATCCCAACTTTTGATTATTTTTAAATAATCCCAACTTCAAAGAGTATTCGCTCGAAATAGACCAAAATACTTATAACTGGTTAAGTAGGTAATTTTTTTATTTATGTGACACTTGTCACCCTATGAGTGGATGAAAATAAAAAAAAAGTAAAAAAATAGAAAAAAAAAAATTAATCATACAAAAACCAGAAAAAATTTTTAAAAAAAACCAGAAAAATTTAAAAATAAAAATAAAAATAGAAAAAAAAATATGGAGTACCGAAAAAATAAAAATAAAAATAGAAGAATTCCCAAACCACCAGCCCCCCACCCCTCACCCCCGCCGATTTCCCCCTCCCCTTGTTAGCCGCCAGCCACCCTCACCCAGCTTTCCCCACCCTCCACCTCTACCCATTATCTCCAACCAAAAGCCCCACCCCAACTCCCACACTCAGCCCCACCCCGACTCCTACATTGAGCCCCACCTCGACTCCCACCTCAAACCACCCCCCCAAAACCAACCCCTTCCTCGGAATTACCCCTTCCCCCAATTTTCTGGCACCGTACCCCTAACCCTAATTTCGCACCCATAAACCCATTAAACCAAAAAAAATCTGAAACCCTAAAAAACGGGTTTTCTGGGTTAACGGGTTTTTGGGTAGGGAATTAAAATTGGGGGGCCGGAAAAAAAAGGGAGGGGGCAATTCCGAGCAAGGGGTCGATTTTTTTGGGGTGGTTTGGGGTGGGGATGAAGGTGGGAGTCGGTGGGATTCATGTTAAGGGTGGCAGTCGTGGTGGGATACGGGGTAGGGATGGAATCGGGCTGGGTGGAGGGAATGTGAGTGGAGTTCGCCGTCGAATAGGGGTGGGGAAACTCCGACCAGGGCTAGCCGCCGGCAGGGGGAGGGGAAGGGAGGTTGCTGGTGGGTAGGGGGGAGTTGGGTTTTTTATATATATATATATATATAATAATTTTAATTTTATAGTTTTTTTTCTTGTTTTTTTATTTTTCTTTTTTTAAAAAAAAATATTTCTGGTTTATTTTTTGGTTTATTTTTTATTTTTTCAAGTATTTTTATTAATTTTTTCTGGTTTTTTATATTTTTTTCGGCAAATCAGGGACTGACACGTGTCCCTTAACCTGGTATAATAGGTTACATGACCGGTTAGGTCCATTTTGAGCGAATACCCCCTAAAGTTGGGATAATTTAAAAATAATCTAAAGTTCGGATTATTTTGAGCGAACCGGCCAAAGTTGGGATTATTTTAAACAATTTTTCCTTTTTTATTTCGTTCATATTTTTCACTAATTATATACATAGTTATAATAGTCATTGTAGGTTCGGTTTATATGTTTCTTGCAATGTTCTATATGTGATTTAATAATGTTCTTTATTAGAAAACATGATTTACTTAGTTGTTTGTAATGTACAATTTATTTTTAAAACTATATTTGTTCTTTATGTCCATAATTATATCATCTAATGATTTTTTTTTATTGTATTATATATTTTAATACTTTATTTTAAATGTTCATGTTCCTTGATTGTAATTGCAATGTACTTTTATTGTCACATAATATTCATTGCTTATTGTAAATTGTTCTTTGAATTTTGTCTTTGGATCGTGGTAGGTATAATAATTAGGATGGATAGTAGAGATCGAAAAAATTGAAAGAATTGTGTTTTCGATCCAATTAGCCCAAATCCTTATTCTAATCTAACTCAATTAGCCCATCCTGTTCATGATTAGTTAATTGCTCATGGGCCTCTTACTTGCTTAACTCAATACCCTTGTGTGTGACCTCATGTGATCCATAATAACGAGCTTTAGACTATTTGAGTAGTCCAAAGATCATCGATCATAGTCTAACAACAGATGATGATGACCCAAAAGAACGAACTTATTTATATCTAGTAATTGCACTTATCGAAAACACAATTCTTTCAATTTTTCCGATCTCTACTATCCATCCTTTTGCATCCCATCTCCCCTATCATACTCTCATTTCCATTTTTATTCCCACCAACCTAATACAAGTATTACACACGTCTCCATCTAAAAACTCAAAAACTACCTAACCACTCCGACCAACCAAACCAATTATCTTGTTCATCAACCACCTTCTCTGCGGTGAAAGTTGAGGCATGCGAGCAAATACAAAAAATTTCGACCAATTACCCATGTTGTGAAAGATTGTAGCTTAGATAGTGGATTCCAATTTGGGCATAGCTATGATTGTTAATGCATTTATAACTTGGTTGTAGAACAGTTCATGAAATTAACTGGAACGAGCATGTATGATGACTTTAAATTAAATATAAAGTATAAAAATATTAGATAATGTGGTAAGAAAGAGCGGAATTTTTCTTGTGATTGCATATGTAGATTGATCCTTCTTGCACCTTTTGATGCTGATTTCTCTCCCTTTTCTTCAGTTATATTCATTTTTGATATTGTCTCTTTATTTGATTGTAGCTCTCTATATAAAAATCTTTAGAACACAATTGTGCTTTGCTTATCAATTGAAAACATGGCTTCTAGGCTATTTAGTTTACAAGTGTCTCCTCTATTCTGAAGGTGTATCAAATTATTTGTTTACCAGGTACACTAGACGCTATTGTACAATTGATCTGGTATGAAGTATTATTGGGATACTATAAATGAATGAGCACAAAAATAGGGCAAGAAGATCTTGTCAAGGCTTTTACGGCTCCATCATATAAGAGCTGCAAAATCAGACTCAGGGCCTGTTCACATTCATTTAATTTCAGTTCATTAAGATGGTTTAACCGACAGATTGGTAGTGCGTGTGAAATATAAAAGACTATGAAACTTTTTTGTTTCCATTCCAAATATCACAATAATTAGATATTTAAAAAGCAGGGGAAAGAAAATTACAAATATTGATGTACATAAGCATATTTTATTTAAATAAGAGAGAAAGTGCTACTTCGTATATGTCGTGATAACAAAGCAAATAAAGTTTGGACCTAAAAAAAAAGGAAAATTTGAGATACTTCCATAACATGGAGTACAACTTAAATTAACTTCCTATTGACCCGATCATAATATGCTTAATTTTATTTTTATCAAAGATCAATAGTTTTGTATTGAATAAACACTCTCATAATGCAAAACAAAAAGTGTGAATTGTATCAAGTATATCTTACACCTTGAACCAATAACACTCTTATAAATAAATTCACCTTTTATTACTAATTATGTTAATAACAAAAAAAATAGTAACAATTATTAGATTCACTCAATAATTTCTCGACAAACAAACTTGGTTAAGGGTTACTCGATAAGGAGTAATTCAAGTCATAACCTTGACCAAATAACTTGAGACCCAGACCCATGTTCATTACCCAACTCAGCACCCAACATCTCATCTTTGGGACCCACAGGAGCAGGTAGGATTGCCTGAGTAACAACAGCAGGAGGGCTAACCGTGGCAGTAGCAGCAGCAGCAGCAGCCCCCTTCTTTGCCCTCTTTCCTGAACCACTGCCACCTGCAGATTGCAGTTTCCTGTCCTTTAACCTCCTATGACAGAACCACATCTGTAAATTCCGATCAGTTAAACCTAATTTAACAGAAAGCTCTGCCCTTAATGCTTCTGATGGGTATGTCGCAACTGCAGCAACAAATCAACAAATAAATAATAAATAAATAAATAAAACAACCAATCAAACAATGAATATTATCAGAAACACTTCAAGATTATGATACATGATATATAAATAAAAACAAAATTGCAAGCAACAAAGAACAAACCTTGATAGGTTTTCTCAAGAACTTCAATTTGAGAAAGCGTATTCATCTTCCTCTTAGTTTTAGGCTCACCCCCACCAATACCTCCGCCGCCGCCACCACCACTTACAGGCGATTTCTTCTCTTCATCAGAACAACTCCCACCTTCCATTGCCAAATTCCCCCAATTTCAACACAAAAACCCTTGAAATCGACGAAAACCGATCTAAAATTACCAAATCGCAAAATCAACAAAAACCCAGATGAGCAAATACCCCAAATCGAATTGGGTATTTGCGAATCAACGCAAAAGAACAAAACTTGAATGAAAATCGGAAGTTAAGTATTTTGACAACGAATAAAAAAAAAAGGTAACAAAAAAAATATATATTACGAATATAAATTGGATTAATAACTAGGTTAAATCCTATGACATACAGTGATATTTATATATAAATATAATTATATATTAGTAAGTGATATGTTAGGGTGTGTTCTATCTGAACTTATCTGAATTTATTAAAACTTATTTTAGTTATAATTTGTATTTGGATAACCTTTATCAGAACATATTAAACCTGATCCGAACTTATCTGAACTTTACTAAACTAATCTGAAATTATTACACCTAAAATAAGTGAAAATGACGTGAACTAAACATACCCTTAATTTGATATTTGCAATTTTAATTGTAGCTTCCAATACAAAACTAAAACAAAGTAGCAAAAATTATAAGCAATATATTTTTTTTTATTATAAAACTAGGTTAAATCCCGTGCCATGCTCATAATTAAACTTTACAACAAAATTTATAAAGAATGGTGTTAATTCAACAAATTTATCCAAAAAAAATATTTGTAACAAAATAATAGTCTCTAATTAAAGATATTGATGGTCAAAGTTGTGTCTCAACAAATGTGCAAATTCAACCATAACTTTTAAAAAAACGGAGGAGCATAATATAATAAAATGATTTTGTTTAGTGGTTCTTATAAACGTTATGTATATTTGTAAGATTTATACAAAGTATCCTACCAAAATTATTATTCCTATTTTTAATTAAAATAAATTTTAAGTCGGAGGAAAAAGAATTATAATAATATTATGATAATCTTGGATGATGATATATGTCAATACCTTAATTTTAAACTATGTTAGTATATTTGTAACTAAATAAAAAAAAAAATTAATTGAGTATGATTGGATTAAATGTGTTGTCAAAATGGAAATAAGTATTTTAGTAGGTTATAAAATGGAAGTCATTAAAATTTGGCAAAAAAAAAAAAAAAAAAAAGGAAAGATGATTAGGCGGGAAAATTTTTTATAACATCGTGACAAGTGTCACTTTAGGTCCGCTTTTAGTATAGGTTAATTGACTAGGTTAAATCACGTGCCTACACGGTCATAATTAAACTTTACAACAAAATTTATAAAGAATGGTGTTAATTCAACAAATCGTGATAAGTGTCACTTTAGGTCCGCTTTTAGTATAGGTTAATTGATGATTGATTGATAGGTCACTAATTATTTAAAAATATTGTTTTTTGTTATATATTGCCTAATTTTTTATTAAGAAAGATTTGTGAATAAATATTTTATTTTAAATATAATAATTATCACGTGTTAATATGTACAAAAAAAGTATATGATTTTTGTAAATGATCTGTTTCCTTAATTAAAATATTTTTTTTAAAAAAATAACTAAGGACACACCAGGAGATGAAACGTGTCATCGTCGGTGTGTCTTTTAGTATATATTGATTGATTGATTGATTGATTTTTATTAAGAAAGATTTGTGAATAAATCTTTTATTTTAAATATAATAATTATCACGTGTTAATATGGAATATGTACAAAAAAAAAGTATACTCGTATGATTTTTATAAATGATCTGTTTCCTTAATTAAAATATTTTTTTTAAAAAAGGAAAAATAATAACTAAGCACACACCAGTAGATGACACGTGTCATCGCTGGTGTATTTTTTAGTATATAGTGATGATTGATTTAAAAAAAAAAAGAAATCAATGAGACCACACATTCTCTCTCTAATACCAAAAAGTAGTCTCTCTCTAGAAATTGATTATTTGGTTGTGATTCACGAACAACGGAACAAGAGAAGATTACTTTGCTTGTTCAATTGGGTAAATGCTACACATACAATTGTTGTATGTGATCCCTACATACAACTCTCATTTGTCATGTTTCAATTGACTAAAATAGAGTTAAGTACATTGTTGGGGTCTAAGTTTTTTATTTTTTCACCTTTTGGGACCTAAGTTTTTTTTGTTCACCTTTTGGGACCTAGAGTTAAGAATTCGGTAACTTAACTCACCTTTAACTCATCTGAGTAAAAACTTAGTCCCTTAGCATTAAATATTGTCCAAAAAACACAATCCCTTAATAAAAACATAATCCCTTCATAAATTTTGTCAAAGCAAAAAACATATACCCTTCTTAAATTCTGCCAAAGCAATTAGGAACAATTTTTTTCAACGAACACAAATCCAATACCCAAAAAAATTAGTCGTTAGAGAATACAGGGAGTATAAATACAGTCATATACAAAATCTTAAGTTGAATAATTTTGAATTCTACTTGATTTTTTTGTTTAGTATATATAAGAGTCTTGGGATTACACCAAAGTGTAGTAGTGTACGTTTAATTAATTATCCTAACTATATCAAAATTGTATCTTTTAATATTTGCATCAAAAAGAAATTATATCCTTTTAATATTTACTCATATAAAATACTATCTTATGGTAAAGTTTGAGAATATTTCCTAATTTAATTAAACTAGTTTATTTTCAGTTTGAAGTACTTTTATCTTCTCTCTCTCTTTTTTTTTTTTCTATGGAGGAACAAGACAAGGCAACAAAGAAAAAAAAACAACAAACTAAAACAAGAAAATAAATCTACCTAAGGAGGGATCAGGTGTGGATTACAACAAACTTTTATTTGTATGTATAATAGGATAAAAATTGTTTAAGTCTAAATTATTTGTGTTAGAATTTTGGTTTTCTTAAGAATTGTTTGCAATTGTTATTTGACTATCTTTTATTATGAAATCTTTTTTTACCAGTAAATAAAAATAAAATAAAAGTAACTCCACAATAATCATAAATTGGATTCCATTAGGATCTAATATATTTCTTTGTTAATTTTATCTTATATCAACATACATAAAGATAAAAACTAAAATTTTCTGTATAACTTTATGTATTTATAGAATTGATTTTTTTTTTTTTGTATTTTTCCAAAAAGAGTAGACTTATTAGTATATTAAAAGTACGCCACCTATGAGTCGTAGCATATATGAACAACTATGCCTGTTTGATTATACGATTATGAGGCTGGTTTAAATTTATACCAAAATGAAGCTTCTTGCATACGCTTCCAATACCCCAAGCACACACGTGTCTCTTTTTGGAAGGCCACCAATCAAATCAGTCAGAAAAATGCTTTTAGGGGTCTAAGTTTTATAGAGGACTAAGTTTTTTTTTCCTACCAACTTTCTAATTGACCAAGTTCTTAACTAAGGGACTAAGTTATTTAATCCAACCTAGTTAAGGGCGTGTTCGGCGTTAGCTTTTGAATAGCTTTTAGGTAGCTTTTAGTGATTTGACTAAGTCAAACCACTACTCAACAAAAAATGTGAGTGTTTGGCAAAGTAGTGGTTATGGTAACTTTTAGTGGTGGAGGTAGCTTTTGTGAAAAGTTAGAAACATTAGCTTTTGAAATTAGAGGTAGCTTTTCAAGTAGCTGTTGAAAATTTAATCTATAGTTTTAAAAATAAAATATTGATTTTTATATGTAACAGCTAGTCAACCACTACTTTACCGAACACTCATATCTAAATTATTTATCTTCCCAGCTAACAGCTTGTTGATAGCTAACAGCTACCTACACAGCTAACAGCTACCTCCACAGCTACAGCTACCTTCACAGCTATATTTTGCCGAACACGCCCTAAATGTACACCGGAAATTGCACATGAGGTCCCAAATGGTGAAAAAAAAAACATAGGTCCCAAAAGGTGAAAAAATAAAAAACTTAGACCCCACTATTGTACTTAACTCGACTAAAATAGTAGGCCAAGTTCCATTAAATATTACGATAATAAATAATAATAATGATAGCAACCAAGTAGAAGTATTAAAACTTTAGAAGAATTAAAGCAACAAAATTTGCAAAAAGACTTGCATGGACCTGGTCCACAATAATGTTATTGTGGACCCGAGGTTTATACACACGCAACTGACATTATATTGAACATAGTAACCTTTAATTTTTACATAGTAACCCTATTTTTAACATAATAACCTTTATTAAAACTAGTATAACGTTTAATATTATTGTGAACTTAAAGTATAATGTTATGACCCTAATTTTAACATAGTGACTTTTATTATTCATATTAACCAGTATATAAAATATTTTATTAAGAAAATTAACCTCTTATAGCCTATATATTACCAAAATGACTTTTATTTCAACATATAGACCTTTTTTCTATTAAACAAAATAAATAAACCCTAAACCTTAAACTCTAAACTCCAGTAATCACATACCGAGAAACTCGAGTAACCTTTGTTGCATACAAAAATTTGTGATTTTATAAAATAAAGTATAGTTAGTAGGATATATTTATTTGTTCGTAGGAGAGAGAAATAATAATAATAATAATAATAATAATAATAATAATAATAATAATAATAATAATAATAATAATAATAATGAAGTGTAAATGGGGTTGGTTAGATAGAAAAAAAATACTACAGTAGAATAGTTGTGGCCTCTATCTTACCAAAAAAAAGTAGTGTTGCAATTATTACGGAACGGACTGTAGCAGGGGTTATCTAAGTTATTTTGTTAGGGGTTACTCGAGTTATTCAGTCATGGGTTACTCGAGTGACTTGGTCAGGGGTTACATTTGAGGGGCTGGGACAAGGGTTACTAGAGGGGTCCACTCGATCAAGGGTTACTTGAGGGGTTACTCGATCAGGGGTTACTAAAGGGGTTCTGAACTTCTGATAGGGGTTACTCGAGGGACTCAATCATGGGTTATTCAAGGGGTTACTCAATCATGGGTTACTTGAGGTGTTACTCAATCATGAGTTACTCGAGCTACTCGGTTAGTGGTTACTCGAGTTACTCGGTTAGTGGTTACTCGAGTTACTCGGTTAGGGGTTATTAAGGAGTTAGGTCAGGGGTTACTTGAGTTGAGGGTTCAGTCGGGTGTTACTTGAGGGGTCTCATACTCAATTAGGGGTTACTTTAGGGGAGGTTACTCGAGGAGTTCAGTCATGGATTACTTGAGGGGTTACTCGATAAGGAGTAACTCAATCAAGTAACCCCTGACCAAGTAACTTGAGTAACCCTAGTAACTCAAGTAACCTCGACAACTCAAGTAATCTCTTTCCAAGAACCTCG